GCATTGAGTTTACTTATGCAGTTTTAGTTTGGCTAAAAAATATTATTTTGAAGGATAAAAATTAGCAAAAATGTGTTAAAAGTAAATAAAAAAAATTGTTGATATCACCACTATTTTAAAATCATTCATTCAATTTGCATGACTAAACGATCTCAAAATAAATAAATTTTACTTTACTTAGACTTGTTTCCTTACTTTACTTTTGGAAAAGACCGCACTTTCACTTTAGTGTGCTTTTGGCAAACGATACTTTAACGTGTTTTGTCTTTAATGAGACTAGTTGTTTGATCGAAAACAAAAGAATAAATTTTAGAGATATTTTTACACAATAATAAAAAAAATGCGCAACTCTAATTGCGATGCTTCTACCGTGAAATGAAGTTGTAATGCCGTGTGAGAGTGAGGATGGCTCGAGCCATGTATTGTCATTTGAAAATTTGGAGTTCGTAAGCAATGCATCTATTACTTTTTCACTTTATCTGTGACATCCCACATCGCTTAAATATATATTTTCATCTCTACCTAGTACGAGGCATTTTGGGAACTCACTCGGAATCCGAAGTTAAGCGAGTAGCACACGAGAGCATTCCCATGATGGGTGACCCATTGGGAAGTTGCTCGTGAGGTCCCAAAAACAAAACCGTGAGGGAATGGTAAGCCCAAAGCGGACAATATCGTGCTACGGTGGTGGAGCGGGGCCAGGAAGTGATCCGTCCCGAGCCGGAATGTGACAAATGGTATCAGAGCCAATCCCTACCCAGAAGTGTGCCGACGAGGACGTCGGGCCCCTAAGGGGGTGGATTGTGACATCCCATCGCTCAGGAGAGTGATCCTTAAATGTATATTCTCATACCTAATAGCATGAGGCATTTTGGAAGCTTACTGGTTTTAGGTTCTATCGGAACTTCGAAGTTAAGCGAGTAGCGCGCGAGAGCAATCACATGATGGGTGACCCACTGAGAAATTGCTCGTGAGTTTCCAAAAACAAAACCGTGAGGGAATGGTAAGCCCAAAATTGACAATATCGTGCTACGATGGTAGAGCGGACTTGAGAAGTGATTCACCCTGGACCGGGATGTGACATTATCTATTTCTTATTAAAGAGAATACAAAATGACAAAACTGATCTTGTTGGGTTTAATGAAATTTTACATAGAAGTTTGAGCCAGTACTTAATTCGTCTCATTTTTTTATTGTATTTAGATATTATTTGTCATTGTATGAACGCATAAACACAAACTAGATCCAAATCAAACTTGTAACGATTTAAAGTATTGGCTTTTAAAAATTTGTCCCGTAGTGAGATTTTTCTTCCGTTAGATCAGGCTTTTGCTTTACGGAAAGTCACCCCACCTATCAATTGCACTATGCTTTTTCTCTCTTTCTCTCAGTGTTCTCCTCCCACTCTGTAACATCTCTCTCACTCACTCAACCCTCTCTTTCTCCCTCTCAAACTCTCCCGTCCTCTCTTCTCTCTGTAACGCAGCGAAAGTCACCAAACCTCGACGAATCAACGCTCAAACCACCACCACGTCCACCCTCTTGACCTCGCGAGCTCGAACCCGAACTCCGTTTCGTAGGAAACAGAGCCTAGAGGCTCTAGCTCGAAGCTCCGACGAGAAAGAAACTTCCCGACGAAGTTCCCGACACTTTTCCGACCACTCCATACCGTTTTCGAAGAGTTGGAAGCCACCACACAACTCCCTAACATCCATGGGTCAAGTTTGAGGTAATCCCCAACTCAAAAACCCACGGTTTCGAAGCTTTGGGTTTTTGGGCGAGACTTTCAGGCCAATTTCAGTACATTTACGTCTGCTTTTTGGAGTTCCAAGAGGTATAAACTTGTTCCTTGTGCTTCATTTCCATATAAAGAACGTAAAAAATGGTTGAGAAATGAGCAAGTTATGGCCCTTTGAAATTGTCCACAGTTTCCGTCGATTTCAGGGACCTTCCGGCCTGTTTCTGGCTAAATGACGGCGAGTTAGCCGTTGCTATGGGTACCAATCTGTTCGTCTCATTCCGAGGCATCATTTCCATTCTGAATCACTCAATTTGGTTGAGATATGTGGAAGTTATGATGATTTAAAAATGTCCCAGAAAACCGACGTGAAACTGCATAATCCGGTGACCCGCGACCGGAACCTGGTAAAAAGTAAATGCAAAAAACGCAGTTCTAAAACAACTAAACACATAATTGCATATCATTCCTAAAACACAGAGAAATTTGTGAGAGTGGCCTAAATAGAAAGAAATGGATATGAAATGAAGTTCCTTTTGAAACATTGGTCCTGTGGGGTTTAAAAAGAACACGGGTGTTCTTTCGTCGAGTGCTACCACTCTCATCATTAACATTGTCACTCTAGACATTATCACAATTCTCAACGCAAAGTAAAGCCTTGTAGAATTCCTTGGATGTCGTACATGGTGTAGATGCTGCCAAGAAACAAAACTGCTTGCGGATATGTTATTTGAACTGGTGGAGCCTTCTTGAATAGTTGGTATCGATTGTTGGACAATAGCAGGACAATTCGTTGAACTTCCGATGGTACTTAGCTACTGATATTTTGCCTTGTGTAGGTCCATGAACTCGTCTTTTTTTTCTTTCCCGGGTCTTATACTCCGCATGTGTAAGATTATCTTACATTGCCGGCCCCAAGCCCGGATAAAGAAGGAGGGGGAGGGCGTTAGGTAGTTGATAGCCGGTACTCCTATTTTACGTCGAACCTTATGATAATGAATCCTGAATGAAATTGCTCTAAAGCTAGGTCGTCACTCGTAAGTGGTGCGTTGTGTCCCGAGCACAGTGATAAGTGAGCAAGGGTCGCTGTATCTCCACTGGTGCCCGGATGCAGTGTTAAATGAGCAATAGAGCCATAATAACTCCTTTTTGAACGACTCCACTCAAAGTTGTTTGGAAGCATCTGCTTCTATCAACTTTGACCTTATTAGACGGGGGATGGTGAAGAAGCTAGGACAAGAGGGTAGAGTTCAAGCGAGTAGAATGCGTTTAGGAACGTGGAACATAGGAACCTTAACGGGAAAATCTATGGAAATAGTGAAAGTTATGGTGAGGAGAAGGATAAGTATTATGTGCCTACAAGAAACTATGTGGGTTGGTCTTAAGGCAAAGGATCTTGAAAACTCAGGTTTTAAACTTTGGTCTTCGGGCAAATAGAACAAGAAATGATGTTAGCATTATCGTGGGGTAGGAAATAGAATTATGGCAATCAAGATTGTAATAGGACAAGAACTCATCAATGTGATTAGTGTGTACACACCTCAAGTAAGGTTGGAACGAGTTTGAAGGAGAAATTTTGGGAAGATCTTAGAAACTTGGTGCAATGAATCACTTAGACGGAGAATGTATTTATAGGAGGAGATTTAAATGGACACGTGGGTAAGAGGATAGGCCATGGTTTTGGGAAGAGAAATGAGGATGAGGAAGTCATCTTGGATTTTGCAGTGGCATACAATCTCTTCTTAGCCAACACTTTCTTTAAGAAGAGAGAAGAACATGTGGTAACCTACAAGAATGAGTTATCAAAAACACAAATAGATTTTCTTCTAACGAGGAAGGGGGATCATATAACTTGTAGAATTGCAAAGTTATACCGGGAGAGTGTTTGGCTAATCAACATCGCTTGTTGGTGATGGATGTACATATCAAAAGAGAGAGTAAAAAGAACAAGACCTTGAAGTGTCCAAGGACTAGAAGGTGGAATCTAAAAAGAGAAAGACAAGTCATTTTCAAAGAGGAAATAATCACCCAATGCGTGTGGATAGAGAGGGGGAATATGGGCCCACATAGATATTAAAAATTACATGTCCTTAGTTCACCCAAATTGCATATCCCACAAACCAGAAGATCCAAAACTTCAAACATCAAGAAGCCGAATTTCATATGTTAATATAGAATAAAATAAAGGAAATTCTTACCTTCGAATTATCAGAGACAGAGGACTGCCACTACTGTTATTGTGAGACAAAGGAGTGAAATCAATCAATGATTCAGTGGAACTTCTTCAGGGCAAATTTTGTAATTTTTATTTTTTGGGAAAACAAATAGTACAAGGAGTGAAAGGAAAAAGAACCTCAAAGGAGGAAGCATCAATGAAGCACATATGGATTAAAAAATTGGTTTTTCCTCCAAAACCCAGATGGAAATTCAATATTCAGAAGAGAAAATCACCAAAAGGGAGAAAAAATGAGGGTTTTTCTTAATCCCCAAATGGAGAAAAAGTTTTTTCTAATATTTTCTTAGTACCAAGAATTTCGAGCCCGACCGGCGAGCGAGCAGTGTAAGCCCCCCCGAACCGTACTGCATTGAATTGGAGTGGCTGTGACTCGGCGTCATGGATCGGACCCACGTCCACCTCCCGAGTTGTAAAACGAGGAGGCCGAGAGCCAGCAGGAGCGCGGAATGATCCGACCGTTGATCAACGAAGAAGAAGAAGAGGTTGAGGAATAGGTCCACTAGTCGGGCTCGGCGGGGACGGAGTTGAGGAGGAGGGAGCACTGGGAGGCAGGGGTGGAAGGCAGGCCAGGTGAGGAGGATGAGGGGCTTGGATTTGGAGGGTTTGAATTTGGGCGATGGTGGTGAGGAAGGCGACTATGAGGAAGACAATAGGGTTTGGGATTTTTCTTTTTTATAAATTTTTATTAGCATTTTTATATTTCTATATTTTATTAATATTCATGTCGGCCTATATTAACATGTGGCGTCTAGTTATTGTTCACATAAGCGGCATGTCATCAGTTAAAATAGATTCTAATGGAAATCTAAACAGATATATGAAAGTGTAACTTTAAGTACCAGATTGGAACGAAAAAAACTTAATGTATGAAATGTTGAAAACCAAGAAACTTCTAGATAGTAAATTGAGTTTAACCCTTTAAGCACACAATTTTTTTTTTTTCATAAAATAAAAATACAACCTAGATTTAAACAGGACAAAAATATATGATTATTAATGTTGTGTTGGGGTGCTTCTTTGGTTTAGGCATCAGAGCACTGAGCGCGGGACTTACAAAAGCCACCAACAAAGAGAAGCATTCCAGCCGTAGTCCTTGATTTCAGAAGGAAATGGAAATTATAATTGCAATTGCCTCAAAAGTTGGAGAGTGCTTGGTCACACCAATAGGAACAGAGTTTGGCTATTTGATTAATTACCATTCCAACCTGGAAAATCTTAAGGGTGAGATAAAAAAGCTTTTTGACAAGAAAGATGGAGTGCAAGGATTGGTAGATGCTGCCCAAAGGAACAGTGAAAGTATCAAACCTGATGTTCAGAGTTGGCTAAAGAATGTGAACAACATGATCCAGAAAGTGTTACATTTTGAGGATGAAATTAACAAGAAAAGGCGATGTATGAATCGATGGAGCTTGAGTCGGAAAGCCTATAAGATTACACAACATGTTCTTCAGCTCCAAAACGAAGGAACATTTGAAAATGTGGCCCATCCTGCACCTCCACGAGGGATATGGTCAAAATTCAAGAAAGGTTTCAAGGACTTTAAGTCCAGAACGGCATACATGAATGAGGTGATAGAGGGTTTGAAGAGGGAACAAGTACGAATGATCGGGATTTGTGGAATGGGGGGTGTGGGTAAAACGACAATGGCGAAAGAAATCATCACAAGATTGGCAAAACTGAACCTGTTTGATAATATTGTAATGGCAACTGTGTCTCAAAGTCCAAGTATTAGCAAGATCCAGTCGGAAATTGCAGACCAAATAGGTTTGGAATTGAAGGAGGAATCCGAGTCCGGAAGAGCAATAAAGCTGCATGGGAAACTCATGGAAATAAAGATCCTGATTGTATTAGATGATGTCTGGACATAGCTTGATTTTGAGGCTATAGGACTCCCTTCTGGAGATGCTCACAAGGGGTGCAAAGTTTTGTTGACATCACGAGATTGGGAAGTCTGCAACAGGATGGGAAGTCAACCAATTATTGAAGTCCCGACTTTAACAACAGAAGAATCACATGACCTCTTTAAAGAAATGGTAGGTGAATCCTTCGATGAGCCTGATTTACGTTCCATTGCAAAAGAGGTCGTTTATGAATGTGGAGGTTTACCTATAGTCAGAATCACAGAGGAAAATGAAGAAGAGGCGACAAAATACATGATTTTGTTTCTAAAACTGAACACATTTGAACTAGAAAACCTGCCTCGTCTCACAAGTCTTTGTCCAGAGGGATTTACATTTCTATGGTCATCCACAAAAAATATGTACGTACGAAAATGTGGATCATTGAAGACATTGGGTGCTGTAATTCCACAAAGAAAGAAGTTGGAGAATAACTTGAAGAAGGATTCAACAAGTCATGATTTCAGCACTTCTCCAACACGTTCATCAAATTGGTGCCCTGCTGGATGTGGATGCGCACCATATTCAAGACCAAACGCCCACCGCCCCATTGAAATATTGCCATGTCCAATTAACCTGGAGGTAAGCTTTTAAATCAGGTTCAATTAACCTCTATAAGTACAACTTTTAATTAGTATTGTATCATCTTGTTGATCGTGTTTAATTTCCTAGGTTACACCAACTAATCTTGAGGACTCAAATGATGATGATAATCTCGCAAATCTTCGTGTCCATGACTGTGCATCATTGGAAGTGATTTTCCAACTAAAGGGGCCGAAGCATGAAGAAAGTAGTCACTCCGTTGAAGCATTCAATAAATTGAGGTCCTTGCGGTTAGATATTTTGCCAAGTTTAACGCGTGTTTGGGAGACGGGTAGTTCACAACCGATGTTGACAGGAAGCAGCTTCGGAAACTTGAAATCGCTGCGGGTCTTTGATTGCGACCAGTTGAAATACTTGTTTTCATCGTCCATTGTCAAACTTCTCGTGAGTATGGAGGACATAAAAGTTCAGAAGTGTGAGCAGATGGAAGAAATCGTTGCCGCAGAAGAAGAAACTGATGAAACAATTACATTACCTAAAGTGAAGTCCATCAAGCTTGAAAGTCTGCCAAAACTCAAGTATTTTTGTGGTGAAGCTTATACTTTGAAGTTGCCGTCTTTGGAGTTATTGGAGGTTGATGACGTGCAAAACTTAAGCCTATTAGCTCCAAAGCTTATTGCCACACATCCCTGATTGCAAGTAAACACCGCGTTGGGACTGGCTGAATGGAAGGGGGACCTAAACGCCACTCTTACGGAATATTTACATCACAAGGTATGCTTTAATATAAGGTTTCTAATTTTCAATCGCTTATGCGTGCATGTTTAAAGATGTTTTTTTTTTTCAACATCTCTCTTTTAAATCTTGATGTATACGTGGAATTTCTGAAGTTTTTACAAAAGACTATATAATAGCATTATATTAATGTATATGTGTGTGTGTATGCGAGTATGTGCACACTAAAGTGTATTTAAATATATATATATATATATATATATATATATATATATATATATATATATATAATTTTAGAAAACTCAATTATATCTCAAGAAAACATCGTCTTTTATTTCTAATACAGTACGGATGAAGATAACGAAATCGATGGCAAGGATGACGATGACAAAATCGACGGCAAGGATGAAGATGACGAAACCAACAGGGAGGACGAACACAGTTGATTGATCAAGCACAAAGGTTAGCATGTTTCCATCTCCAACTTCTTCTAGGTTTAGTAAAAACTTATGAAAATTATATATATAGTACTCAAAAAAGTATTCTACCATGTTTTATAATATATACATACATGTATAGCACTTGAAAAATTGAACAGTTTGGATCTAAAACCACAATCTGCTACCTGATTCATTTTTTCGAGGTACCTAATAGCAGTTAAGGTGTGAGGAAGAAGCTTTTTAGATTACCAACTGCCTCAAGAGAAACCTTTATCAGAAACACATATACAATAAACATAACCGTAGTGCTAAGTGGCCTAAAAATTAATTTATCCTTAAACCGCTATTTTTGGAAACACATATACAATAAGCATAACCGTTTGATTTCTAATATTCTCCAATGCATGCAGGAAAAGAGTTTAAAGAACGTTGTGGCTCCAGCAATTCGTTTACCATATCATATGCACAAACCAATAAAAGGACATTTGTTGCACCAGAATTTCATTCCAAAAATACTATTTATGTTGCTTATTTTATGTACCATAAATTTCGATTGCGATTATTACTGTTTGTTTCTAAATTCGCATCATTAGTATTTGCTTATTTGTGCTCGAGGTTGATTATACACGTGTAAGCTGAATCACATGTTTGTAGAATGGACAAGCTGAATAAAATCTGTTTGCCCCCTAAATGTAATGGAAATCATATGTATCTAGGCATGCTTAATATTTGATAAAGAAAAACATTTCTCAAATAAATGTCCACTCACACCTCCGGCAAGCTCGCCCTTGAGGAGCCTTGTCTACCAAATAGGTAAACATCTACTGGACAGCAGGCGATTCAAAACCATAGCAAACTGCTGAATACAACTAGAGTAAACAAGGAATCAGGCTATGCAATTGCCATCATCATAACATGATTTTGGCCCCCATCTTCTAATTTCCTACCACATTTTCACATTCTTTCCATGAATTTTATGATTCCTATGCAACAGAGTTCATTCATCGCCTATTCACAACAATACAAGGTTCTACAGAGTTCAATCCCACACCATGTTATAGACATGCTTCAACTATCAACCGGGAACGTAATCGTTAGGGGTTTCAACAATTTCACAGATACAACAATTACTATAAGTCTCATCTCCAACATTCATACAGAAAATCGAATAAAATTCGAAATCAAGAATCAAACCCAAAACTGAAAGTTGAAAATTTGGAAAAAGAACTTACATTGGAGAACAGCCCACGAGAAGAGTATCATTTCTACCTCTTGGGTCGAGGTCCAATTCCCGCGATATTGGCCGGAAACCCCTGGGTCACCGTTTCTTAGATTTGAAGTTGAGGAAAATCGCCTACGAAATTATAGAAACTAACTTGGGGGATTGGATAAGGGACGGCAAGAGCATTCTGGATGTGTAGTTTGAGAGCTTTTGGTGACCAGTGGACGACAGAGCTGTTGCGTCGGCACTCGGCAGTCTTCGGCTTGCTGTTAAATGGGGCTCCAGGAGTCGCAGCGCAAAAGAGAAGGAGGAGAGAGGATACGGGAGGAGGAGAGAAAATGGGTTTCTCCCACCTTTTACATTAATTCTTTTCCACATTTTTTAATGTAATAAACGATAATATATATCATCAAAAGCGTGTTTGGTACGTGAGATGAGAATGAACGTGTTTTAATGATAATAATGACTAGAAGTAATATAGTTAAAATTCGTTTTTGGTGATAATCGAATATCAGATTTCTTATCTACAAGTTACAAATAAAAATGAATATCATTATTTTTTTTTCACTTTTAATACACACGTAAATAAAAAGAAACAAAATGAAAATGAAAAGAAATAAAATAATTTGAAATAGAAATGAAAAATAAAGGTAAATTGACAACATAAGGTAATCAGCCATGGTAATACAAAATTATTATACTATCCTTAAACATTGTAGTGCCATGGAATCTTCATTTTAGCTCTGAATTTCCTTCTGCATACGCTCACGCGTTCATATTGATGAGCACTACGAGAAAATATTAAGATGATAGGTCATACTCATACGTTCGTTTTTGTTGAGAATTTTTTTGAAGGATTTTGCAATATGGCAGCCATGATTTGCAAAGCCCACCATCGTAGAACTCGATATCGGCCTGACTTGTGGAGCCACCATCGCAAAGAAGAACCTGGAAAGCTCAATCCTTGTCTTTTTCTTATATAAGTGTCATTTTGGTGAACCAAATGTTCCGATTCCAACATCCAAAATACCACAATGTGATTTTTTTCATACTACAATTGGATTGCATCTTAAAATTATGAAGTCTTGGAGCATTGGTCATGCCATCATGCTGATTTGTGTTGGATTTCGTTAGAGATCGTAATTAATCAATCACCCTTTTTGTGTCTCCCTTCAAAAGCTCAAATTGAAATCTGAACTCCCTAGCAAATAAGAGCCCAATTTGACAACCAAAATCTTCATCGTTCGAGCATCAATGTTCTCTTAAATTCACTACGAGCAAACCGCCATGAAATCTCCTTCATGGACATCTCATAAAATTAGAACGATACAAAGAAGATTAGTGTGACTCCTAAGCTAGGATTACACGTATGAATCGTAAAATAGTTCCTCCTCCGCTCTTTGATTCTCTCTTTCACTGGCTAACAATATTTTGCTCTACCTTTTCACCCTAAGTAAGAAATGAGCATTTTGTTAGCATCTTTTTGAAAATTCAAATTTGATCCTAATATATCTCTTTTGCACTATTTGACTGAACAACAAATTTTGATTGTCTAAATATTTATATCAAACTACAAATAATATTGATATTATATATTTATAATGTGACTGAAATTGTAGTACCCAACATATCTATCTTGAAATAAATTTTGTTGTCTATGAAGTGGCCAACTCGACCCTCTCCTATACTCTTTGAGTTTGTATAAATATATCATTGTTTAACAATTGACATTCAGTACTGTGATTTAGTGATATTCATTATCATGTTCGAATCTTAGGAGTAACGAGTTTGTGTAAATATATCATTGTATTAAAGAAAAACAAAAAAATAAAAAATAAAACAAAATATTTTTTTTTTTGGTCGGACAAAAACACGAAAATGCCCTTAAAGCCCAAAGTGACCCCACTACCCTGCCGCTGCCTGCAAGTTCCTTCCTCGCCCCTGTTTCTACGTCCAATTAATTAATTTGGAGGTAAGCTTTTAAATCAGGTTCAATTAACCTCTATAAGTACATCTTTTAATTAGTATTGTATCATCTTGTTGATCGTGTTTAATTTTCTAGGTTGCACAACCTAATCTTGAGGACTCAAATGATGATGATAATCTCGAAAATCTTACTCTAATTAACTGTAATTCGATGGAAGTGATTTTTCAACTAAAGGGACCGGAGCATGAAGAAAGTAGTCAATCCGTTGAAGCATTCAATAAATTGAGGTCCTTGCGGTTAGATATATTGCCAAGTTTAACGCGTGTTTGGGAGACGGGTAGTTCACAACCGATGTTCACAGGAAGCAGCTTCGGAAACTTGAAATCGCTGCGGCTCGTTGCACCGATGAAATAATTACATTACCTAAAGTGAAGTCCATCAATCTTAAATGTCGGCCAAAACTCAAGTATTTTTATGGTGAAACTTATACTTTCAAGTTGCCGTCTTTGGAGTTATTGGCGGTTACTGACGTGCAAAACTTAAGCCTATTAGCTCCAAAGCTTATTGCCACACATCCCCGATTGCAAGTACGCACCGCGTTGGGAGTGGCTGAATGGATGGGGGACCTCAATGCCACTCTAGGGAATATTTACGTAATCACTTATGCGTGCATATGCGCACACTAAAATATGTTTTTTTTCTTTTTCCTTTTTGGAAACTCGAATTATATCTCAAGAAAACATCTCTCTTTTATTTCTAATACCGAGAAGAATGAAGCTGACGGAATTCTACTAGACACCATATAACGAGGATGTTAACAATCACAAAAGGTTGTGGCTTCGGCTATTCGCTTACTTTCATATGTACAAACCAATAAGATGTCAGTTCGCCAAAAAAAAAAAAAACCAATAAGATGTCATTTGTTGCACCAGAATTTCATTCTAAAGATTCTGTTTCCGTTGCTTACTATATGTATAATTAATTTCGAGTGCGATTATTACTGTTTGAATTCATCTCTCGACTGCCTATGGGGACGTCAAGGTGGACACCAAAATGGAGGTGTGATGACCTGCATCTGGAAAGTGACGTAACCATAACGTGCATGCAAATATAATTTAATAAAATAACTTCAAATGATCTACTGAAAAATCGGCACAGTTTCCTTTGGAATTAGGTTTTGGCACCCAAATTTAAAACCTGCTGAAAAGTTATAATTATTTCAAAACCACATCCCCGACACCTAATGGGTTATCAACCCTCCACTACATGCACGTATACTCCAATATACTTACTGGTGGTATAGCATACAATTTCATACACTAGTCATAGTTAGTGTAAGGTTACACACACATGATACATGCTAGTGTAAACTGAAGATAAAACCATACATTAGATGTAGCTAGTGTAAGCTGAAAAATATAATCATACACTAGCCGTAGCCAGTGTAAGCTGAATGGGCATGCTCACAGTAGGGACAAGATGACTATACTGTAGTATAAATCATACACGTGTAAGCTGAATAACATGTCCGTAGCATGGACAAGTTGAATATTCTTTAATATTAACCATACACATGCGGAATGACATGTTTGTAGTATGGACAAGCTGAATATACTGTAATATTGACTATACACGTGTAAGCTAAATAATATTATCAAACACTGGTTATGGCTAGCTAGTGTAAGCTGAATATGTTCATACACTGTAAGGTCTGGTATTAATTCATAAAATCTATTCTTCCCCTAAACGTAATGGAAATCATATGTATCTAGGCATGCTTAATATTTGATAAAGAAAAACATTTCTGAAATAAATGTCCACTGACAGCTCCGGCTAGCTCTCCCCCTTGAGGAGCCTTGTCTACCAAAAAGGCAATTTCAAGCAACTTCAAGAGATAATTTGACCACGTTGCGGAAGTATGACACCAAACGGTTGAGACCCAGAAGACATCCAAGAGTTTTTGGAGAAACAGAACGCTCACTGAAGATATGTGTTCTATTTCTATAGCACGCTTACCCCAAACAAAACACAGGTTATGGAAAGGAAAATAACATTAAGAAATGCAAAAGATTGGGGAGATGCTAAAGAACTCATCTCCGGTCCTGGAAATAATGCATACAATATTGCTCTACCAATTAAACCAAATCTTATGACTCTAGTGACAAGCTAGAAAGCCACAAAAACCCCAAGCCTTGCAGGGAACCCAAAACCAAAGCAAACTACCGAAATGAACCCGATTCGAGCCAAGAAATGACAATTGCTTATGTAAAAATAAATTAATCAAATTAAACAAGGAAAACTTTACACTACTCAAACAAGAAATGACAAACCCGATTCTAGTTGAATACAACTAGAATAAACAAGGAATCAGGCTATGCAATTTCCTACCACATTTTCACATCAACGTGATTGTTAGGGGTTTCAACAACTTCACAGAATTACCACAAATCTCATCTCCGGCATTCAGACAGAAAAATCGAATAAAAGTTCGAAATCAAGAATCGATCCCAAAACTGAAAGTTGAAATTTTGGAAAAAGAACTTACATCAGAGGACATTCCACGGTGAGCCTGCATAAATGAACCAATTAAACAAAGAAATGAAAACCGAATAACTCGGAAGCTAAAGTATCACAGATAGAAAATTGCATATACCTAACTAAAAATGCACAACCTAATGAGATGTGGTAGTTTAAGTGTATAACACAAGGGTGAGAAGTACTCTAGTGCTCACACACTGAAGCCACAAGACTACCAAATAATGTAGCTTTAGAAATATCATTCGTTGTTTTGCACACAATCATACATGCTCATCAGAACATAGTATGATCTCCAACGGAAATAGAAGTGACACAGGTGAAAGTCAAAATAAACAAACAAATAATAGTGTACGAGAAGGCCCTAAAGAATTGCTCTAACTAAGAGACAAGCTTAAATTAGAGTAAATTGTAGCTATGGTCCCTTAACTTTAACTCAATTGGAGCAATGGTCCCTCAACTCATCAAAACATGCAGCTATGGTCCCTTAACTAAAAATCCATTACCATTGGTCCCTCAACTCATCAAAGCGTGCAGTTATGGTCCCTCAACTAAAAATTCATTACCATTGGTCTCTCAACTTTAATTCAATTGGAGAAATGGTCCCTTAGCTTTAACCCAATTGTAGCAATGGTCCTTCCAACCAAGGTCTAAAATATCGATGATATCCTGATATTTCCATCGAAATTTTCGTGTTTTTGGACTACCGATATTTCCGATATCATCGATATTTTAGACCTTGATAAGAACTCTATGTGGTACTAAATTACTCATATATCTTACCATGCAATGTATAAAGTGTAAAATATTGTACTAATTCATTATATATAAATGATTATGGTGTGTTTAAACTTGTTTCATTAATTACTACATATTTTCTACACTCACAATGTTTGCCAGCTCGCTATATAATCAACTTAAATCAATTAAATCCATCATGCAATGCATTTCCTTCCAATTTTTTGTGATAAACTAATAGATAATTGACTAAATAAACATCCTGCAAAGTTTCAATAAAAATTTCCAAGTTTTTCTTACAATTTCCGTGGTTTTTATTCAATTTTTATCGATATCGATAATATCTCGATATTTCCATCGAAATTTCCGTTTTTTACTGCCGATATTTCCGATATCATCGATATTTTAGACCTTGCTTCCAACATAACTCGTTTTGACAAAATTTTTGACGTGATTGACGAAAAGAACCATAATTACACTTTGATAAGTTGAGGGACCCTAATTATATAAATGGTTATTCCAACATAACTTATTTTGACAAAATTTTGACGAAATTAATTAAAAGGACTATAGCTACATATTTTGATAAGTTGAGGGACCAATGGTAATGGATTTTTAGTTGAGGGACCATTGCTCCAATTTGATTACAGTTGAGGGACCATTACTACAATTTACTCCTTAAATTATATAATAAGCTTTGCACACACCCCACTTTCAAAAACTAGATTAGTATGCCGTGATATTTAACAATGCCGTCATAAACTTACTTGTTGAATAACTCAACCCTGTATTCCATCTCCTTCTCTGCCATACCAAAGATTTGCACAATTGTTTAAAACCAAATTCAAGTCTTTCCAGAACACGCAGGAGATTATTTGAAAAACAAGAATTTAGAACAATAATTCAAAACCAAAGAAAAGAAAGTCCATCACTCAGAGTAAAAATTAACCATCTTGTTGCTTCCTAACTGTCTGGAAATACCCACGTTTCAATTTTACTAATGTCGAAACACCACCATCATTGACCAATTAGACAAATAAGACCCAATTCGATTACGCCCAACTCACAGAATACCCAGATTCCCAACACCCATTGAACAATCTAACCATGAATTTCCAAAACTTTCCCCAAAATCCAATCTTGGGCATGCATTAAATCCAATCTAAAACTTGAATTCGTTTTTGCAGAACAAAAGGTAAAAACTTTGGAACAATGAAGCAAAAGGGTACTTACCTGTTCCTTGTCCAAAACCGTCGGCGCATTGTGGGGGGCAGCCATTAGAACCTGAACAATTCGCAAAATTAATTTACAGACTTCTTCGAAACCGAAACAGTATGAAGTAGCAGAGAGGGTTTAAGTAATCTTACTCGGCGGATGGAATCGAACGCGCTGAGAGTGGTAGCTGTAAATGCAGAGGGGTTTTAGGTGTCCGATTTGAAGCCAAAGCAGGAGAAAATGGAAATCCCACTGAACTATAATGTACGAATTAGGGTTTTAGGAGTTTGTATAGCGTGTATGTGCGATGGACGGTTTTGTTTTGGGGGACTTTCAACCCGAAAAGTAGTGGATTATTGCCCCTTCTTTTCTCCTTCCACCACAAGTAGCGGATAATTTCACAAAGTCCTTACATGGTGGACAGCCGTATATATATGTCCCTTTCTTTCTTATTTTTTGGATTCTTTTATTTCTTTGCTTACTCATATTTCATCGGTTGGCTCAAGTTCGGTTCACTAAAGTAGCGTGTTTCTTTGTTATGTTAGAGTTTGAATATCCATTCAAATGATTTAGATTTCTTCGTGCAGACTATCGTTTAATTAAAAGAAAAACTCGTATTATGTTTACTTATAGGAAATGAATATTAGTCTCATTGTATATTTGCTAACAACTATGAATTTGAGAGGAAAAAAAGTGAATCCACATTGATTTTACATTCTAATACGTTCTCATACATGAAAAATCATAAGATTATTATGGGGGTTGTTTAAACTCGTGGAAACGTGTTTTGATGTTCACCCAATAACAATTGTTTGTTCTCGATCCATTTCAAGTTTTAACAAATAGTTCGTTTAAGCAGTTAAGAGTTTTTTCTCGTGCTCTCAAAACTCGGCGTTACCTAGTGAACCATATAATATTCAATAATGACTTACCATTTGAATGGATCGAAAATTTCAAATTGACGACATTTGTGCCGGTAACCTGTGTATTACAAGGATCATTGAGAAAATACATACTTTCACATTGTGCCGGTAGCTTTCATTAGCAATGCTTCACAATTTACAGGTACGAGGGCTTGACCAGCATCTCCTCCGGATCTTTCCACACTGGGGAGTCCTTAAGGGTGCGTTTGGTACGTGGGACGGGACGGGACGGAACGGGACGAGGCGTTCCGTCCCGCGTTTGGTACGCCAAAAATGGGTGGAACGGGCTGTTCCACGGGACAGATTTTGGGTGTTTTTGCGTTCCACGTCTGTGGAACACAATGTTTTACCATTTTAAGACAAATATACCCCATGTCTTTTTCAAAAATTACACCTTCGTTCCGTCCCGTCCCGTCCCGTTCCGTCCCGTCTCGTCCCATCCCGTTCCGTCCCGTCTGCGTACCAAACGCACCCTTACTGTACAAATAAGATTCACATGCGCAAAATATGTGCTAGACTACGCGCTGCAAATGGAAACAAGTTGTCACCCCCATTTATCCAAAAATAATATACTTGTTATAGATATCCGTGTAGAATATTATATTACGAAGGGCGGAGAGCGTGTGTACGGCAAAGTAGGAACGGGTACAGCAACGTAGCAGCACAAGCAAGACGATGATTGGAACTGCAACTTACCCCCACACATTCACAGAAGCCTTTTTCTTTCCCCTGCTGGTGTTCATGAAAGCGCTTTGAAGTGAAAAAGCCAAGAAATTACGAAGGCAAGGATCATGCAGGCAAGAAGGAAAGCCGCATCAGTACTGCTATTTGCCTCGTTTATCTGGCCACTGGAAATGTTGAATGCAGTTACTCCACAGATCTCGCAGGTTCTGCAAATCAAATAAATAAAATTATGGATAGGCAGAAAATAACATATCAGTCAGACAAGACAAGTAATTACAACCATAACGCAACATAATGAAGAAACGTACCATGAGGATTTTGAACAAACATAATGAAGTGTAACCAACAGCATACAAATATAAAAAAATATAGAAGAAAATGCTATACAATCACTGTAAGTGATTTCAAAGGCCATCAATCTTCTATTTCTGTTTCTAGAAATAAGTCACGTCGTCAAGATGTCGTTCCATTTGCTTACCATGATGAGTAAAATGAAATTTGAACTAGCTTGCTGTTCTTGCATATCTTCTCCTCATCCTGGTTACCAAGCAAGTCAGTCTTGACCAATCCATCTATGATGTATTGTATTCTCATGTGATGCAGCTTATCTAGATTATATTTCCTGTAGCCTAAGTTTGGATATTTCCTTTGCAGAGGGTATAGCGTGCAAGGTCCTAAGAACTTCACCAAATTATCATCCTTCGAGTATAGAAAATCTCCCAAATATATAAGCGAAATAAACTTGTGACGGAATCAAAGAATGCAAATGCTCATCATCATTTACTAATCCATATGCATAATGTAAACATTTACATCTTTATTAGAAGCATACATAAAAAATACATGGCACACAAGATATCCACTTTTCAACATAGGAGCTCAATTCTTACATACAGACACACTTCCTTTAGCTTGCATTGGACCTCGCACTTTCCACTAATGTAAATGCCATAGAAAGTGTGACTGTAAAAACTATAAACGTAGAACGATCGATATGTTTGAGTTCAGATGGACTGTAATAGTGGTGACTACAAGATTTGTTCTTTTACTAGATTTTCTCGTATTTCATATGAGCATACACATTCTACTATATACGTGATCTGCCTCATTCAGCATTCCAGTAAGAAGCAAAATGATAAGAACAATTGTGACAATTACATCAAAAGAAAGAAGCTAATTAGCAAGTAATCATTCGAATAAGCTGAACTCACGGAAGCAGGAACCTAAACACTATCAAGATGGTCTCTGTTGTAGCATGCCCATAGTAAGATCATAGTTTGAAGTATGTTAGGATGCCACTTGTCATCATCTCAATATGACAAATGTAAGGTTGAGATGCTCTAGTAGTAGATAAGATGGTTATAAGTTGTCGGATGATAGCTTACAGAGGAAGCTAAGTAGTTTACATATAAGGAAGTCGGTTGTAATTGGGAGGGGGTCATTGGAATAATCTCTGTGTAATACAAGAAAGTACTATGCAATTGTGAAGAAGCCGAGCAAGGTTTTAACATTGGTATCAGCCAGTGTCGATTCCTCTCAATCCTTCATTGTTGTATGCCTCGCCGACCCCGGAACACCATGGAATCGCGAGTGTCGACTTTGGAAACCATGCTCGCCGATCTCAAAGATGAGTTCAAGAACAGCCAAGAGATGATCATGATGCAGCTGCAATCATGATGCAGATGGATGCATTATTTGTGGCTTTTATCGTTATTGAAATCTTGTTGGAATTTCGACATTTATTGATCATAATGCATCCATCTGCATCTCCGTTGTATCATTACCCTGTACAAAGAAAGTGGCTCGAAGTCTTGAGAAGCACATAACCAACAATCAAACCGCGGCATTTGGGTGCTCCATTAGAAATGGTGGGACTACGACCAGGAATCCCAGGTACATTACGTCTTGCTACAGTTAAAAGGGACAAATGCTCAAAATCAAATACATATTCGTGATATAACTTTGGCACTCTTATTTCTGATACATATTTGTGACTGAGCAGATAATCATAGATAAAATCTTAAAAAAAAAAATATATATATATATATATATATATCACAATTTCAACCAGAAATTTCAATGGCTCTGACGTCAACGTTCTTCAACTCCGCCTTCGGAACAGTGACACTCAGAACTCCATTCTCCATGGCAGCCTTAATCTGATCAACCTTTGCGTTCTCCGGAAGCTGAAACCTCCTCAAGAACTTGCCGCTGTTCCTCTCCACTCTGTGCCACTTGTCGTTTATATCCTCCTTCTCCACGTTCCTCTCTCCGCTGATCTTAAGCACCCTGTCGTCTTCCACCTCCACCTTCACCTCCTCTTTTTTCAGCCCCGGAACGTCCGCCTTGAACACATGGGCTTCGGGGGTCTCCTTCCAGTCGACCCTAGTGTTCACAAAAGCCGAATTCTCCCGAGAAAATTCAGGAAATGCGGAGAGTGATGAGGAGGAAGGGAACGGGAAATCCTTGAAAGGGTCCCACAGATTGAGGGAGAATGGGTCGAAGACGCTGCTGCTTCCTCGTCGGGAGTTGGGAATTAGCGACATTCTGAAAAACCGATGGGGTTGGTTTGGATGCAGAGAAATTTGAGAATTATTACAGAATTATTGCTTTTGCTGGACTGATTGGAAAAGTAGCGGATTTGATATATTTATAAGGAACCGAAGAATTTTCTAGAACAGACTTGAGGATGAGGCTGGAAAAGTATGTGTGAGTTTCTCGAACTTTCTAGGATGCTTGAGAATAATTGGAACTTTCTTAGGACGCTTAAGAATAATCCGACGTTTGTGTGAGTTACTCACACAACACGGTTGACTTCATGATGATGAATGGTGGACCCAAAAGCCTAAGTGTGGGGGTTGTATGGGCCATTCGATTTAATCGGACGGTTAAAACTGAAGATACTGTGCAAGTTATAAGCGGGGCGTTTGAATCTTTGATATGTATTATTTGGACTTATTGATAAATAATAATATTTACATTAAATTAACAATATCAACTAAATATCAATAACATTTAACATCTCATGAAGTAGCTTATCTAAAGGTAAAGGGAGTTATAGCCCAAACAAGCAAATTACCAGTTAAGTAATATGATGGTCACTTAGTGCTACCTTTAATGATATTTTTCTTTATTTGAGAGTGAGAGGTCTTAGATTCGATTCTCGTCAAAAGCGAATTCGAATCATATTATTGTTTAGGGTAAATTGCCAATTTAGTCCCTGAATTATTACCTTAGTGAAAATTAGATTCCTAAACTATTTTTTTCAGAAAAATTAGTCCCTGAAATATAAAAATCTGCCAATTACATCCCTAATGTTATATTCGAAGCTACTATATTCAAATTTTCGTCAATTTAAGTTATATTACTTGCATGCGATACACATTGGAGGGTAGATTGGTAGTTTTTCATAAAGAAATAGTGTATGGAGTTAACTTTGGATGAGAAATTAATAGTGTACAAAATAATACATAAAATATTGTAAAACACACATAAAAGGATCTAAGCCTAAAAAGAAAAATCATCCACAGAGCCCAGTCAGTAAGGTTCTATACGCCATAAGAATGAAATAAAGCATTTTATTGTGCACCATAAGATTGGAAGAATCAATCTTATACCTAGCCAATTACCAATGGCTGATCAAAGTTCTAGCTCATAAATATTAAGTACAAATGTGAAAAACAAACTGAAATCTATAGGCCAAATTGATAATAAATAAATAAATAAAAAAAGAACATCTGCACGCCCGCACCGACAGTAAAGCTAGTTTAGTCTTTAGCGGAATTCTTTTCTCTCTTCTATCCCCCTTTTTTTTTTTTGGTCGAAGCCCAATTCTTTTTCATTCACGAAGTTTCTAGCAACTTCTGTTTTGCCTTCATTGAGCTGTTGGGTTTCATGCTCTTTCTAGTTTTACGGTACCTGAAATTTTCCAGAAACGTCTTTGACTCCTCATAAATACGTCACTAACCCCACGCCCTTCACCAACCAGTGAAGCCAAGCAAGAACTCTCCCTACTGACTCCAATTTGATTCCCAAGGCAGCCAAACAAAACCACATCAAGTTTTTTGTTTTTTAGGTTTTTTTAATAAATTATAAAAAATTATCTCAATTATGAATCCAACTACAATCTTATATATCATGTTCAAACATTACAATGTTATATGAATTCCTTTAAATATTCTATTAATTTTAATTGTTAAATGATGAGATGCCAGGAATGGAGCTCACTCTTTTGATAATTGGAATAAAAAATTAATCAATTAATAATAAATTAATAATTTTTTATTTACAATTAAAATCAATTAAAAAAAAAACTCTCTCAGCCGCATCCCTCCGTTACCCCCCCCCCCCCCACATTTTCCGAGCAACCAAACAAACCAAAGCATATAATTTTTTCCAGAAAAAAATTCAAAACCCAAGTCGAAAAATCACAAGAGAGTGCAGACCTGATTTTTTATCCCAAAAACATGCATTGAATGTGGATCCGGCAATTACAAGCAGGACGCGATTCCCAAACCTCACAAATCAAAATTTACAAACCCTTAAAATCCCAATAGATTTACGAGTTCCCGGAGTGGGATTCAAATCCCACGAAACCTTCATAGCCATTGGACCAAAACACTAGACTATTTCTCTACTAGAGAAAATTAAGATTTAATTTTTAATTTAAACCCATGATGTTATGGGTACAATGATTTTTGGGCATCGGTGGAGACTACGCGCAGACGAAGGAGATAAGGGAATAGAGAAGACTCGCAGACTACCTCACCGAAAAGATCTCATCTCCCCTCCCCAGAACAACACCTTCCACTACTCCAAAATTCCTAGGTACTCGATTCCACTAGCAGAGACAACCACATCAGCAATGGCGATGGCGATTATGCAGCTTCAAATTCTCATGATGCACTCGAGAGCTCCCTTGCCGATCTTTAGAACATTGACGATGGATAGACGAGGATTGGAAAAGTCTCGATCATCGTCAGGTCCAGGAATCGCGGGCGGGAAGCTCATACGGTAGCCGGATCTCGAGGTGGTTTCGATGACAGAAGACTCGCTGCAGACAACCATCAAGAAGCAACAAGAGAGACAGAAGGAGAGATGGGGTTTTTAATAACTTTAATTTTTTCAGATTAAAAATTCTTGACTTATTTAATTTTTAAATTATGAGTGGGTCCTATTATTGCCAAGTCATCATTTAGCAGTCAAACTGATAGAAAATTTAATGAAGGTGTGACATTGCAACGAATTTAGAAGTTGATGTATGATATTGTAATGTTTAATACATGAAGTATGAGATTGTGGTTCGACCCATATTTAAAGTAGTTTTGTATAATTTATCATTTTTTTTCTTCAAAATGTTGCTTATCCCCACCTCTCAACAAGGCAACAGCATCTTCGACCAATTCTCCCTCAACTTGTGTGACCCTTTCAAGGATTTCCCATTCCCTTCCTCCTCATCACTCTCTGCATTCCCTGATTTTTCTCGGGAAAATCGGCTTTTATGGACACTACAGTCAACTGGAAGGAGACCCCCGAAACCCACGTGTTCAAAACGGACATTTTGGGGCTGAAGAATGATGAGGTGAAGGTGGAGGTGGAAGACAACAAGGTGCTTCAGATCAGCGAAGAGAAGAATGTGGAGAAGGAGGACAAACACAACAAGTGGCATAGAGTGGTAAGGAGCAGAGGTAAGTTCTTGAAAGATTTCAGCTTCCGGAGAATGCAAAGGTCGATCAGATTAAGGCTGCCATGGAGAATGGAGTTCTGAGTGTGATCGTACCAAAGACAGAGGTGAAGAAGCCTGACGTCAAAGCCGTTGAAATCAATGGTTAATTAATAGTGAAATAATAAGATTATGAATGTTGTGTTCTTAGGAAATAAGATTATGAAATAGAGTGCCCAAAAAAGAGTGATTTGTGTAATTGTTTGTAAAATAATGACTTGTGTGTAGTTAATTTGATACAAATTTGGATTTATGCGTTTGAAAATAATAAAAATTTTAAATGAGGATAATCGGAAAACAACTTTTGTAGTAAAAATTTAGATTTAAATTTTTTGGTAAAGTTCATTAGGTTTCATGTTCGAATGTGACATTTATATTATTTTTCTGTTACTTGTCATTTCACTCTATATTTTTTCACGGGGTATCATACCATTGCCAAGCCCCTTTCTCACTTCTCCCTCTTCGTCTCTCTACACCTACATCCCGTCTTCTCTCTCCTCCGTCTCACTTTCCATGCGCAAAACATTTTTGTGAGTTTTTAGATTTTAAAGCTCTGATTGGATCAGTTTGAATGAAAAGTTTTAACCAAGCTTCTAAAACTGGAGAAAGGATTTCTAGGCAGCAAAAGGCAAGACCCATGGCGTACAATTGAGATTTAAAAAAAAATGGCTTTGAGATTTGTTGGTTAGGATGTCCTTCCCTCAATTGTGAGTAGGGTTGGGCAAATACCCATTGGTTATGGGTAACCGTGATTACCCGCCAATTTAAATTAAATGGTTACGGTTATGGGTAACCGTTTAGATAAATAAACAGTTATGGGTATAACCGTTTACCCGCAAAGTGTAAATGGGCGGTTATGGATATTAACCGCGGTTATAAACGGGTAACCGTTTACCCATTTATTTTATATATATAAAATTAACACAAAATATGTTCTCTACTAGACAAAACTTAGATCAATGCTATTGACTATAATGTGATTTATATAGCGCTGTTTTAATTAATTAAAAAGTAATAAACGATAATCCGTGCAGTATTTTTATCCTTAAATTGAGTAAATCAAAAGAAATTTAAGTGAGAAAAATAAACGGGAGCGCACTGAAATCATTTCCCTTGCAGTATGCATGCATTAGATTTTTTCATGTGTTTACTGTAGCTATATGTTGATCTTGGATCGAACAAACTGGAAATCGAACATTCTTACAGGGCTATTGATCCCCTACATTTTCTTTACCCTTCCTTCAATATTGTTCAACATCTTCAAGTTCTTTTCTACACGTAGTTACCGTACAAGTTATATATTTCCTGTTGTCTGTGTTTCTTATTTGTTCTATTCCCTAAAAATCTTTATTTTTCTAGGGGAGAGAATGGAAAATGGATTGCTCTCGTTACGTTGGCATATAAATAATCCACGTAACGGTGCCCGTCGTTGTGTCTTTTCCGGTAATTATTTCAATTATTGGAATGTTATAAGGACTTAAAAATTTAAAATACGGAAATGGATGATGAATGTACCTATAACGGTGTTTAATTGTCACAAAAAATAAAAATTATAACAATTTTTTTTTAAATTTCCAAGTTGTTAAAAAATATGTAGACGGGTGAAAAATGGGTAACGGTAAAAAAATAAAAAGATAAATGAGTTAAAAATGGTAAATGGGTAAACGGGTATTAAACGGTTACGGTTAAATGGATATGCGGTTATGGGTATGGTTAACCGTTTATAAATGGTTATGGGTATGAGTATAACCGTTTAAGCAATTACCCAACGGGTAAACGGTTATGCGGGTATGAGCATAAACGGTTATGGGTAAATAACCGCGATTGCCCACCCGGCATAACCGTTGCCCATCCCTAATTGTGAGCAGCTCTTAATATGCTTTCTTCGCAGGAAGGCGAATTGGAGACAATAGTATGCTTTTGAAGGAGTTTCTTAAAAAAACACTTTCAAACAAATTTGTATAGAATTTATATGCTACGACTAATAGTAGCCCTACTATTGTTCGAAATAGATTACCAATTCTAATTGTGATGTTTGTACCGTAAAATAATGTGATGCCTCGAACGAATGAGGATGGCTCAAGCCATGTATTGTGCCTTGAGAATGTGGGGTTGGGAAGCAATGCATCCAATTTTTCTTTCACTTTATCCTTCTTCTTTTTTTGTTAAAGAAAGTACCATATGGTTCGTAAGCAAAGTATCCAAATCTTTTTCACTTTTTTCTTGATAAAGAGAAATACAAAGTGGGTTCGAAAGCAATGCATCTCATTCTCTTTCCCTTTGTCTTTTTCTTGTTAAAAAAGAATGAAAATACCTTACTTCAGAATCACCTCCTCTTGAGGTAATGCTCGTTAAATATATTTTTTTTGCTTCTCTATTTATATTGTTAGAGAACTCTTATTAACCTTTCCCCATTGAAGTTATCTGCTCATTGCATTGCTGAGGTAACATAATATGTCCTCCTTGTGCATGATACCATTCAACATTCATATTTTCTAGCAAATTCGTGAAGTAACAATGTCAGTACCAGACACATGAGTTGTTGTTGAATAAGGCATAGATTTTAGAATTTCACTTTTACTCTAGTGAACTGTTGCATTGGGTTGATTTACAATACAGGTACGTATGTACAGCTTGGAAACTTTATTTCTTTTCAATATTTGTTGTTTTAGGTGTTTATTTTTACCCATGTGTGACTAAGAAACAAAAGTGTTGGTTTTACAATATATTTTCTAGAAAATTCGTGAAGTACCAGATCCAGCAGCAGACATATTGTTGTTGAACAAGGCATAGATTTCACAATTTCATTTTTTTCCCTACCGGTTAGTTGCATTTGGTTGATTACAATACAGGTACGTATGTTCTTAGAAACTTCATTTCTTTTCAATATTTGTTGTTTTAGGTGTTTGTACTATATGTTTATGCATTTTGATGTTCATCCACGTCAACTGAAATTGAGCTAATCCCCCCCCCCTTATAATCTAATTTTTAGTTTTCTCACTCAATACAAAAAGTTTTAAATCATGTCTGCTATATGGTGGTGAAATGTAAACTATTAGAAATTTGTATGCTGTAAAATAATAATGAGTAAATAAATATACATGCAGTGAAACCGTCAATTGAAAATATGACTTTACCCCTTGAAATTCAATTTTCTTTAACTAAAACTCATCATAGTATATTTTCCTAACAAAAACTCATTGACTTTACCTCTTGAGAAAAAAAAAGGGCCTTCGGGTTTTTACATATATATATTTTTTTCACTTCTCCTATTTATATTGTTAGAAAGCTCTTATTAACTCTTCCCCATTGAAGTTATCTGTTCATATATATGCATTGATGTGCATCATCTTTCCTCCTTGTGCATGCTAACATTCATCATTCAAATTTTCTTGCAAATTCGTGAAGCACCACTACCAGTACCAGACATATGATTTGTTGCTGAACAAGGCATAGATTTCAAAATTTCAATTTTACTCTGTTGGACAATTGCATTGCGTTGATTTACGATACAGGTATGTAGTACTTCTCGAAAACTTTGTTTTTATCTTGCTTGACTAAGAAACTAAAATGTTAGTTTTACAATCTAGTGCCCACCAGATATTCTATTTCAGGATTCAGCTCAACAATTTTATTGATTAGGTTTTGACTTCACACAATTTTGTATTTTTAGATGTTTAAAATATCCCTAGTAACTTATGTCAGATTAAAAACAAATTTTAATATCATGATTTCATTGCATATTAATAATAAAAGTATATGATTCTACGGTTTTCATTTGTTTTATTTTATTTTTTTTCCTTTTTAAATTCCCTAGTTGCTTTTCAAATTTGCATAAATTAGGATTTTTTTTTTGGTTTAATTTTTCCGTTTTCAAAATATGGGAGCATTAGTTACCAACAAAATATAAGAATGTTATTTTTCAAAATTATTTAATTATATTCTATATAAATATGGGTAAATTATTTTACTACACATATATAATAACAATAAAATGTGCTTAATGTATGTAATAATACATGCAAAATAATTTACCTACAACATAAGGGATGTGATTTGGTTCAAGTTTATTTTACCTACATTTCACATATTGATATGGGGAAATTATTTTATGTAGATTAAAGTACCTACTTAAAGATGAAGAATGTGAATTGGTCCAAGATTTAATTTACAATTATTTCAAATATATAGATATAAGTAAGGGGAATTTTGATCTAGGTGCAACATCCCTAGCATTTAGACTTTTTTATTAAACTATTTTCTACAATTTTGGTGCCACGTTTTCTAAAATGTCCTTCTTTTTGAAATTCAAAATTACATGAAGTGCCATTGATCCACCAATTTATTCAAAAAGTAGTTCCGAAATCTAGCCTTCTTCAAACCAAATTTATTATTTTTATTAATCCAAAACAAAGACACATATTATTAAGTTATCAACCAATGACATGTGCCAAAAATTAAAATTAAAATAACCAAAACTAGAATCAAACGTACCATAAACTAGAATTAAACGTACCAACACTAAAACTAAATGTACCAATCAACGATATATACAAAATAATTCTCTCACTAAAATGTATACATAAAATATAAACATCCACCATTTTCATTGTCTTGAAGGTAAAATTATATTTTAATTTTAGGAGAAAAAATATTTTTTACGAAGAAATTATAACAAAGAGATCATTTGATAAGCATCAGGTGCGACTTTGTGGCAAGGCTTCATATCGTTTCGGGTTTGAACTAAGTGATGCTTAGGCCATCTCCAACCGAAGGGTTCAGAGGGCCAGAAGGTCGAAAATAGCCCGAAAACCGTCTCCAACCGAGGGCTAGGCCAAAGGGCTCTGGAATCTGGGAGGGCCCCACGGAATCGGAGAGGGCTGGAGGGCTGGAGGGTTGGCTGCATGCAGCCAGCCAGCCCGGGGCTGGCTATTTTTTTTTAATGTTTTGTTATTCCTGTCGGTTATAACCGACATGAATACATTTATACTAAATAATAGCATGTATTCCTGTCGGTTATAACCGACATGATTTCTTAAGAAAAAATTCAAATGCAACGGCTACTAGACGTTGCATTTGATTTATTTATTTATTTATTTTCAGTTTTATTATTATTTTTTATTTACAAAAATTTTCATATAACTTCTATTTTTTCCTATAACTTCTATTTCACAAAATTTATTTCATATTTTTTTTTAAATTCCATTTTTTCCCTATAACTTCTATTTCACAAAATTTGTTTCATATTTTTTTTAAATTCCATTTTTTTCCTATAACTTCCTAAGCCATTATACAACATTAAATTAAATTAAGTAACATGAAACAACATTAAACAATATGAAACAACATTACATAACATTAACCAACATAAAAATTATACAACATGAAACTTAAATGGAGACGGTTTTTAAATGGGTTGAATTTAAGTTGTAGTCTTTAAATAATAAATTATGTTTGGCCCTATGGTCTTCGGTTGAAGACGGTTTTTTGTGACAGGGCTAAAACGAGCCATCTGGCCCTCGGTTGGAGACGGAGGCAAATATGACCCTGTACTGTTCATTAAAATATTAATATCTTGAAGAATCTTGGAGGGCTAGAGGGCTAAAACGAGCCATCTTGCCAACCATCGGTTGGAGATGGCCTTAAGCCTTAAAGTATGAGTCATAGAGGAAAAATAACAAAGATCTACACAAAACTCAAACAAAAGATAAAGATAGAGAAAACAATAGATAAGTTTTCTGGGTGGGCTCAAAACTGTCATAAATAGTGGGCGATGGAGGAAGGAGGCTTGAATTTTGAAACGAACCATGAGGGTTGCTGGAAAAAATAAAAAATAAAAAAATAAAAACTAGAGGAGGTGTGGGGTCTATGGTAATGGGATGAGGATGAATGAAAAAACCAATAAAACAAAAATATAAAGAAATAAAAGAATTGAAAAAACCCGATATATCACGTTGTTTGCTGTATCGTGTAAGCTTGACAATGAGCTTATAATAATGTGATTCAAATTCGCATTTGACGAGAATCGAACATAAAACCTCTCACTTACAAGTAAATAAAAATATCACTAAACTGCAATACTAAGTGATAATACAACTTAGATTTAAACAGGACAAAAATATATGATTATTAATGTTGTGCTGGGGTGCTTCTTTGGTTTAGGCATCAGAGCACTGAGCGCGGGACTTACAAAAGCCACCAACAAGGAGAAGCATTCCGGTTGTTGTCTTTGATTTCAGAAGGAAATGGAAATTATAATTGCAATTGCCTCAAAAATTGGAGAGTCCTTGGTCACCAATAGGAACAGAGTTTGGCTATTTGGTTAATTACCATTCCAACCTTGAAAGTCTTAGGGGTGAGATAAAAAAGCTTTTTGACAAGAATGATGGAGTGCAAAGATTGGTAGATGCTGCCAAAAGGAATGGTGAAATCATCAAACCTGATGTTCAGAGTTGGCTAAAGAATGTGAACGACGACATGGTCAAAAAAGTGTTGCAGTTTGAGGATGAAATTAACAAGAAAGGCGATGTGTGTATCGATGGAGCTTGAGTCGGAGAGCCTATAAGATTAAACAAGAAGTTCTTCAGCTCCAAAACGAAGGAGCATTTGAAAATATGGCCCATCCTGCACCTTCACCAGAGATATGGTCAACATTCAAGAAAGGTTTTAAGGATTTCAAGTCCAGAATGGCATACATGAATAAGGTGATAGAGGGTTTGAAGAGGGAACGAGTACGAATGATCGGGATTTGTGGAATGGGGGGTGTGGGTAAAACCATAATGGTGAAAGAAATCATCGTAAGATTGGCAAAACTAGACTTGTTTGATAAAATTGTAATGGCAACTGTGTCTCAAAGTCCAAGTATTAGGATGATCCAGTCGGAAATTGCAGACAAAATAGGTTTGAAATTTGAGGAGGAATCAGAGCCCGGAAGAGCACTAAAGCTACGTGGGAGACTCATGGAAATAAAGAGGATCCTGATTGTATTAGATGATGTCTGGACAGAGCTTAATTTTGAGGCTATAGGACTCCCTTGTGGAGATGATCATGAAGGGTGCAAAGTTTTGTTGACATCACGAGATTCGGAAGTCTGCAACAGGATGGGAAGTCAACAAATTATTGCTGTCCCGATTTTAACACCAGAAGAATCACAGGAGCTCTTTCGAGAAATGGTAGGTGAATCCTTCAATGATCCTTATTTACGTTCCACTACAAAAGATGTATTGAAGGAATGTGGAGGTTTACCTATTGCAATTGTAACTGTTGGAAAAGCCCTAGAAAAGAAAAACAAGTGTGAATGGGATGATGCCCTTAATCAGCTGCGAAAATCTACCCCAGTGAACATCCCTGGAGTGAATGACAAAGTTTATTCTAGCATAAAATGGAGTTATGATAGATTGGAGAGTGATGAAGCCAGGTCATGTCTTTTACTTTGTTGTTTATTTCCAGAAGATTATGATATTCCAATTGAGTATTTGATTCGATATGGGTGGGGTCGAGGATATTTTAGCAACATCTTTACTTTGGAAGATGCAAGAAATAGAGTGCATTATTTGGTTGGCCAACTAAAAAGAAGGTTTTTGTTGCTCGATAGTGGCAAGAGTGAGGCTACAAAAATGCATGACGTAGTTCGCGATGTTGCCATATGGATTGCTTCAAGAGATCCACATGGATTTTTGATAAGAAGTGATGCTGAAAATAAAGGGTGGCCAAATTTAGCTACATATGACCATTACACTACCATCTCACTTGTTGGCGAATTGGAGATTCAACATGGTTTGAAATGCCCAAAACTTGAGCTTCTACAGACGATGGAAGGACGTTTTTCAGAAGGTAGCATGGACAACATTTGTAAGGCGATGAAAGAACTGAAGGTTTTAGCTTTGGTGGGAATGGAAATGGAAGACCTAGGCTCATCAAGATCACTAGGATTACTGAAGAATCTGCGGACCTTGTGCCTAGATGGGTCTAATTTTGATGGCACGTCTACTGATGTTATTGGGAGTTTGGAGAATTTAGAAATCCTCAGCTTTCGGGAATGTGATTCCATGCGTGAGTTGCCGAGGGAAATTGGACGACTTAAACAGTTAAGGTTGTTAGATACGACAGACTGTCGGAAACTTGAGGTGATTCCACATGGTATCTTATCCAGCTTATGTAGACTTGAAGAACTGTATATGCATTGTAGCTTTAATAAATGGGAAATTGGAAGAGGAAGAGAAGAAAAGGGGATGGCAAGCATTTCTGAGGTGATGTCTCTGTCTCATCATTTGAAGGTTCTAGCCATAAATATACCCAATGTCATCCACTTGTTGCCAAAAGACATAGTCTTTGAAAAGCCCAACAATAAGATTCGGTATATGCCTTGCAAGATGGACAGAAGCAGTCAAAGAATTTTTTAGGACAACTTATGCATTCGAAAATTGTTTGATGATTGAAAAAAGTGATGCAAGGGAGTTGGAGGAGAGTCAAGCAGTTAGACTTTTGTTGAAAAAATCTAAAAATTTGACTTTGCGCAAAGTTAAGAATTTCTCTGTCCTCACTGATTTAGACCAAGAAGGATTTCAAGATTTGAAAGATTTGGATCTTCGGTATTGTCCACATATCGAGTATCTTGCAAATGGAACAAGTGGGTTTTTGACCAACCTAAGAATCATTCAATTGAAATTTTGTGGTGTCTTAAAATATGTCTTTTCATTATCAGTAGCAAGAAACTTGGTACAACTCCAGGAATTAAACATTTATGGATGTGATCAAATGGAAGAAATTGTGTCAAAGCAAGGGAGAGAACATGAGGAGGAAGCCGATATAATATCTTTCCATAAATTAACCAATTTGACTCTCGAGGGTCTAGGGAGTTTGGTTGGTTTCTTCCAAGCCAACAAGCTATACTCCAACCAAGAAGAGGTATGTCCCACTCTCCAATCTCTATGAGATGAGGAGGCAGCCGATATGTGGAAATTTGAAATTATTTAACTGATAATTATTTTTCTTTTTCAGGAAAAAACGGCAAGGGTTGAGCATCAATCTGCAGGCATATTTGAAAAAGCAATATTTCCATCAACGTGCATTTCATGGTTTCCAAGTTTAGAAAAGGTGAGATTGGGATTTATGGAGTTTGAAGGCGTGCTATTTGATCTTAAAATCCATGTAGTTATGGATGGGCAGACAGCTCCAACTTTTCCCCAGTTACGTGGGTTGGAGATAATTTTTTGTTCGTTTACACATTTGTGGAAAAACATTCCATCTGGATTTCAGGGCTTCCGAAATTTGAGATGTTTGGATATAAGAGAATGTTGTGGTCTAAAATATGTGTTCTCGCATTTAATTGCCCGAGAACTTTTGAATCTTGAAGAGGTAAAGATATCTAGATGTCCGGACATGGAAACTATAGTTAGAATCAAAGAGCAAAATGAAGAAGAGGCGACAAAACACATGATTTTGTTTCCGAAACTGAACACATTTGAACTACAATACCTGCCTCGTCTCACAAGTCTTTGTCCAGAGGGATTTACATTTCTATGGTCATCCATAAAAAATATGCACGTGAACAAATGTGAAAATTTGAAGACATTGGTGAATAACTTGAAGAAGGATTCAACAAGTCATGATTTCAGCACTTCTCCAACACGTTCATCGAATTGGTGCCCTGCTGGATGTGGATGCGCACCATACTCAAGACCAAACGCCCACCGCCCCATTGAAATATTGCCACGTCCAATTAACCTGGAGGTAAGCTTTTAAATCAGGTTCAATTAACCTCTATAAGTACAACTTTTAATTAGTATTGTATCATCTTGTTGATCGTGTTTAATTTTCTAGATTACACCAACTAATCTTGAAGACTCAAATGATGATGATAATCTCGAAAATCTTACTGTAAGTGACTGTAATTCGATGGAAGTGATTTTCCAACTCAAGGGACCGAAGCATGAAGAAAGTAGTCACTCTGTTGAAGCATTCAATAAATTGAGTTCCTTGCAGTTATATACATTGCCAAGTTTAACGCGTGTTTGGGAGACGGGTAGTTCACAACCGATGTTTACGGGAAGCAGCTTCGGAAACTTGAAATCGCTGCGGGTCTATTATTGCAACCAGTTGAAATACTTGTTTTCATCGTCCATAGTCAAACTTCTTGTGAGTGTAGAGAACATAGAAGTTCAGAAGTGTGAGCAGATGGAAGAAATCATTGCCGCAGAAGAAGAAACAGCTGAAATAATTACATTACCTAAAGTGAAGTCCATCAAGCTTTTAAGGCTGCCAAAACTCAAGTATTTTTGTGGTGAAGCTTATACTTTGAAGTTGCCGTCTTTGGAGTTATTGAAGGTTACTGACGTGCAAAACTTAAGCCTATTAGCTCCTAAACTTACCGGCACACATCCCCGATTGCAAGTACGCACCGCGTTGGGAGTGGCTGAATGGAAGGGGGACCTCAATGCCACTCTAAGGAATATTTACGTCACAAGGTATGCTTTAATATAAGGTTTTTAATTTCCAATCATTTATGGCAAACAGCACAAAAATTTCGACAACAAATTTAGGCAAAGCATAATCAACAGTTCAGATTTAGTTTGACGAAAGTGTAATCAAAATTTAGTCAAAAATACACATACACACACATAAATATGTATGTGTGTATGTGTGTGTGTGTGTGTGTGTGTATATATATATATATGTATGTGCGTATGTGCACACTAGAGTGTATTTAGATATGTTTTTCTTCTTTTGAAAACTCAATTATATCTCAAGAAAATATCTGTCTTTTATTTCTAACACAGGAAGGGTGAAGATGATGAAATCGACAGGAAGGATGAACACAATTAATCGATCAAGCACATCTTCAACTTCTTCTAGGTTTAGTAAAAACTGCTATTTTCGGAAACACATATACAATAAGCATAACCGTTTCAACTTATTTGAGTTTCAGTGATTTCTAATATTCTCCAATGCATGCAGGACAACAATTCAAAGAAGGTTGTGGCTTCAACAATTCGTTTACCATCTCATATGTACAAACCAATAAAATGTCATTTGTTGCACCAGACTTTCATTCCAAAAATACATCGTCAATGACATTTATCTAAGTTCTCATTATTAATGTTTGTATCTAAGTTCGCATTATTAATGTTTGTTTATTTGCCCGAAGAAATGAGAAATGCTTATGTAAAAATAAATACAACAACAACAACAACAACAAAGCATTTTCCCACTAAGTGGGGTCGGCTATATGAATCCTAGAACACCATTGCGCTCGGTTTTGTGTCATGTCCTCCGTTAGATCCAAGTACTCTAAGTCTTTTCTTAGAGTCTCTTCCAAAGTTTTCCTAGGTCTTCCTCTACCCCTTCGGCCCTGAACCTCTGTCCCGTAGTCACATCTTCGAACCGGAGCGTCAGTCGGCCTTCTTTGCCCATGTCCAAATCACCGGAACCGATTTTCTCTCATCTTTCCTTCAATTTCGGCTACTCCTACTTTACCTCAGATATCCTCATGCCCAATCTTATCCTTTCTCGTGTGCCCACACATCCCACGAAACATCCTCATCTCCGCTACACCCATTTTGTGTATGTGTTGATTCTTCACCGTCCAACATTCTGTGCCATACAACATCGTTGGCCTTATTGTCGTCCTATAAAATTTTCTCTTGAGCTTCAGTGGCCTACGACGGTCACATAACACGCCGGATGCACTCTTACACTTCATCCATCCAGCTCGTATTCTATGGTTGAGATCTCCATCTAATTCTCCGTTCTCTTGCAAGATAAATCATAGGCAGCAAAAATGGTCGCTTTTTGTGATCTTCGCTAGATTGCTCCGGTCATTAGTGTGGATAAGTATATAAATGAATAGAGATAGGAAAGCAAACACAAGATGTACGTGGTTCACCCAAATTGGCTACGTCCACGGAATAGAAGAGTTCTCATTAATTGTGAAGGGTTTACACAAGTACATAGGTTCAAACTCTCCTTTAGTGAGTACAAGTGAATGATTTAGTACAAATGACATTCGGAAATATTGTGAGAGAATGATCTCGTAATCACGAAACTTCTAAGTATCGGAGTGTGGTATCGTCTTGACTTGCCTTATCTGTCTCATAGGTAGATGTGGCATCTTCTCTGGAAGTACTCTTCCTCCATCCAGGGGTGGTATCTTTAACTGGTGGAGATGCACAAGGTAATGTATCAATTTCACTTGAAGCTTACTTGTAGTTTCAGGCTTGGTCAAGCGCGATACAAACCATGTAGTAGGAGTCCCCCAAGTCGCCGAGCTAGGGGATCTACTGAAAGAGGTGACAGACAAGGTAAGCAATCAGAGCTCCGGCTGATTGTTCACCTTCTCCCCATCTTGCAGCAGCATGAAGGATAAAGAGAAGAAAAAATGAGAAGAGATGATATGGGATACTTTTGCTTTTGAAGAAGTAACTTTCCACAGGCTTATTCTTGAACTGAGCTGGAGGGTTTTCTGGTTTCCTCCAGAGCCGACTGAAGAATTTGAGGGTCAAAACAAGTCCATCAAATCTAGAGTACGTTCGACCCTGCTGATATGGGATACTTTTGCTTTTGACAGAGTAATGGATGTATCGGAACGTGTGCTGTTACGCTTGTCTCCACATGCTTCCTTGTATCCTTCGCACTTGCCCTATCTGTTCCTCAAGCAGATGCGGTATCTTCCCTGGAAACATAAGATGTTGAAGATGAGTACTCGAGAGCAATGTCAGGTAAGTAATCAGGTAAGGGGTTCCAGGCAGTCAGTTCCTGGCTGGAAGCTTGATTCCAAGTGCTGACTGATTACTCTCTTTCTCCTTGTCTTGCAGGTAAAAACAAGGCCAAAGGAAAAGACAGGGAAAAAGCATGATATGGGATACTCTTGCTTTTAATCTTGATGATATGAGATATTCTTGCTCTAGTATAGCTTGTTTGCAGAGGTATTATCGGGGGGAAAGAAAGCTGAATATTTCGAAAGGCTTCGTTGGGAGTGCCCTCTCAGATATGAGGAAGGGTTGAGCATTTTTGCAGGTCTGCCTGTCCGTTGGGGATGGAGGTCGACATATATAGGAGTCTCCCTAACAACAAGTAGTAATGCTATTCCTTTACCCTGCTTGGTCATAGCACGGTAGTGGGAGCTGCCAGCTTCACATGTTTTAACTCTGTCAGAGCACTTTGAAAAAGTGGTCTGTGGTATCTGGCTCTCGAGAAGTCTTCGACAGAATGCCCATAATTTTCGCAAAGCTGAGTGTGTGTGTGACAGGTGCTGATAAGGCTAGAAAAGTAGGTGTCTCTTCGATTTCTGAGATCGGCCCTCGTGGTCTCTGAGCAGCCCAGCTTTTGAGAAATCGAGCGTCTCTTCGATTGATTCGGAGAACGATGCATCTTCGATTTTTAAGAAAGCAATCATGCTGGGGGTCTGGCTCTCGAGATTTGGGGAGCAGTGTCACTTCGATTTTTGAGAAAGTAATCATGTTGGGAGTCTGGCTCTCGAGATTCGGAGGGCGGTGCCTCTTCGATTTTGGAGCAAGCAATCTTGTTGGGAGTGTTTTCTCGAATGTGAGTAAAGGTTGGGCATGTTTGCTAGTCTACCTTGCCACGAAGCACAGAGGTTGACACACAGGGATTTTCCAATTATCCAGCAATGGTACTGTTCCTTTACCCTCTCTTCGATTTTTGAGAAAGTAGTCATGTTGGGAGTCTGGCTCTCGAGATTCGGAGGACGGTGCCTCTTCGATTTTGGAGCAAGCAATCTTATTGGTAGTGTTTTCTCGAGTGTGAGTAAAGGTTGGGCATGTTTGCTAGTCTACCTTGCCACGAAGCACAGAGATTGACACACAGGAACTTTCCAATTATCCAGCAGTGGTACTGTTCCTTTACCCTTGTGGGTAATAATATGGTAGCTAGACCTTCAAAATTTATGGGTCTAAACTTGTTAGTGCTGTTTCTTTGCTATTCTTTTACCTTTCTTGGCCAGAGCGATGTAGTGGGAGCTGCAAGCTTCACGTGCTCAACTTTGGCAGAGAACTTTGGCAAAGTTATCTGTGGTACCCATGAGCTATTGTTGCGTGTGGGAAGTGGGTGATTGAACAGTAAGATTCATGTGTTTTCTACTTCCTCAGAAGTCTTCGACAGAATGCCCATAATTTCCGCAAAGCTGAGTGTGCGTGTGACAGGTGCTGACAAGGCTGGAAAAGTAGGTGCCTCTTCGATTTCTGAGATCGGCCCTCGTGGTCTCTGAGGAGCCCAGCTTTTGAGAAAGCGAGCGCCTCTTCGATTTCTGAGATCGGCCTTCGTGGTCTTTGAGCAGCCCAACTTTTGAGAAAGCAAACGCCTCTTCGATTTCTGAGATCAACCCTCGTGGTCTCTAAGCAGCCCAACTTTTGAGAAAGCAAACGCCCTCTTCGATTTCTGAGCAGGCGCCTCTTCGATTTCTGAAAGCTCCGTCGAGTGCAGATTTTTATAGGGGCTGGCATTAAGTTCCAAAGCACACTTGAATCTCCACCAGTAGAAGCTCCATTCTTGCACTTCTAAGATCTTGATTTGTCCGACCTCTTCTCTCTTCAACACCTTTGAAAATGTCTGGCCCCTCCGACCGTCGTTTTGACTTGAACCTTGTTGAAAGAGGCAGCCCCGCCTTCTCCAGACAACATATGGCGCCCATCCTTCGTCTCCCCTACTGGTCCTCTTACCGTTGGGGATTCCGTGATGAAGAATGATATGACCGCTGCGGTGGTGGCCAGGAACCTTCTCACTCCCAAAGATAACAGACTACTTTCCAAACGGTCTGATGAGTTAGGCTGTTAAGGATTCTCTGGCTCTCAGTGTTCAGTGTGCAGGTTCTGTGTCTAATATGGCCCAACGCCTATTTGCTCGAACCCGCCAAGTTGAATCATTGGCGGCTGAAGTGATGAGTCTCAAACAGGAGATTAGAGGGCTCAAGCATGAGAATAAACAGTTGCACCGGCTCGCACATGACTATGCTACAAACATGAAGAGGAAGCTTGACCAGATGAAGGAAACTGATGGTCAGGTTTTACTTGATCATCAGAGATTTGTGGGTTTGTTCCAAAGGCATTTATTGCCTTCGTCTTCTGGGGCTGTACCGCGTAATGAAGCTCCAAATGATCAACCTCTGATGCCTCCTCCTTCTAGGGTTCTGTCCAGTACTGAGGCTCCGAATGATCCCCCTCCGGTGCCTTCTCTTTCTGGGGCTCTACCGACTGCTGAGACTTCTCCTAAGCAACCTTTGTGAAGGCTCCCTCTTGTTTGTTTATTTTGACTCATGTATATGTACATATTTGTAGCTTATCGGGGATATCAATAAATAAGCTTTCCTTCATTTCAACGTATTGTGTTAAATACACCAAAGCCTTCTTCGCTAAGTTCTTTGAATTTTCTTTTGTTGAAGCTTGTATGTTGAAGCTTTCTGAGTGGAGCATGTAGGTTGGGGTAGTGTTCCCTTAATTTCCCGAGTGAGGAAAACTTCTCGGTTTGAGACTTGGAAAATCCAAGTCACTGAGTGGGATCGGCTATATGAATCTTAGAACGCCATTGTGCTCGGTCCTGTGTCATGTCCTTCGTTAGATCCAAGTACTCTAAGTCTTTTCTTAGAGTCTCTTCCAAAGTTTTCCTAGGTCTTCCTCTACCCCTTCGGCCCTGAACCTCTGTCCCATAGTCGCATCTTCTAATCGGAGCGTCAGTAGGCATTCGTTTACTAATTCATATGCATAATTTAAACATTTTCAAATGCTTATCATCATTTACTAATTCATATGCAAATTTAAACATTTTCATATTCATTAGAAGCATACAGAAAAGATACATGGCACACAAGATATGTACTTTTCGACGTAGGAGCTCAATTCTTGTATACAGACACACTTCCTTTAGCTTGCATTGGACCTCGTACTTTCCACTAATGTAAATGCCACATCAAAAGTGAAAGAGCGATTCCGGAAACCAATTACATCCATGTGCTTGCACTTCAATGCAGAAACAGAATAAAACATAATCCTAAAGTTTTCGGACCATCATTAAACACGCAAGCATAATAAACATTCACAATCCAGCAAATGGGTGTTCATAATTTCAAGCAGAAACAAAAGTCAAAGAAAATAATGAATTAAACTCTGAAAAATTTTGTACTCAAGTATCTCCCGTGGTCTTGAACCAAGTCTCAGCACATTGCTTATAAGCAGCACCCAAATCCCCCTTGCAAGAACACCCCAAGTCAATCGGGACCCCAGAGGCAAGGTCGGTCCCACCACCTCCCTCCAAACCCAAGTGGCAAATCCTGCAATTTCTCTAACTTTACTCAAATGCACCACCTTCTTCACCTCCGAAACCCCGCTCTCTCCACTGAACAGCACTGGATGTCGTCAGAGTCATCCGAGTCTGACGCACCGCTGCCTCTGGTGGCCAAAAGGCGGTGGTGGGTTGTCTCGGGAGCTGACATTCGTGAAACCCAGAAAGAGAAATGGCATGAAATCAACGCTCAAACCACCACCACGTCCACCCTCTTGACCTCGCGAGCTCGAACCCGAGCTCCGTTTCGTAGGAAACCAAAACTAGAGGCTCTAGTTCGAAGCTCCGACGAGAAAGAAACTTCCCGACGAAGTTCCCGACACTTTTCCGACCGCTCCACACCGTATTGGAAGAGTTGGAAGCCACCACACAACTCCCTAACGTCCCTGGGTCAAGTTTGACGCAATCCCCAACTCGAATACACCCGGCTTCGAAGCTTTGGGTTTTTTTGCGGAGACTTTCAGGCCAATTTCAGTACATGTACGTCTGCTTTTTGGAGTTCCAAGAGGTATAAACTTGTTCCTTGTGCTTCATTTCCATATAAAGAACGTAAAAAATGGTTGAGAAATGAGCAAGTTATGGCCTTTTGAAATTGTCCTCAGTTCCCGTCGATTTCAGGGACCTTCCGGCGTGTTTTTGGCTAAATCACGGCGAGTTAGCCGTTGCTATGGGTACCAATCTGTTCATCTCATTCCGAGGTATCCTTTCCATTCTGAATCACTCAATTTAGTTGAGATATGTGGAAGTTATGATGATTTAAAAATTTCCCAGAAAACCGGTGATAAACTGCATAATCCGGCGACTCCGCGACCGGAACCTGGTAAAAAGTAGATGAAAAAACGCAGTTCTAAAACAACTAAAACACATAATTGCATATCATTCCTAAAACACAGTGAAATTTGTGAGAGTGGCCTAAATAGAAAGAAAAAGATATGAAATAAAGTTCCTTTGAAATCGTAACCAGTAAAAGACCCGATCATGTTCAGGAAAGGTAACATCACATATCTAACTTAAACTAGGGAATGTCATACTTAATGTGATCATAACTAATAACTTTTATTTTTTACAAACTGCTAATAACTTATAGAGTAAATTTAAGCAATTGTCCCTCAACTTTAGTAAAATAGGAGCAATGGTCTTTCAATTAAAAATCTATTACTATTGGTCCCTTAACTCATCAAAATGTGTAGCTCCCTTAACTCATCAAAATGTGTAGCTATGATCATTTTCTTTAACTTCATCAAAATTTGGTCAAAATGAGTTATGTTGGAAAGACCATTGCTACAATTGACTTAAAGTTAGAGGGACCATTTCTCCAATTGAATTAAAGTTAAGGGACTATCTCTCTAGTTTGATTAAAGTTGAGAGACTATTGGTAATGTATTTTTAGTTGAGGGATTATAGTTGCACGTTTTGATAAGTTGAAGGACCAATGATAATGAATTTTTAATTTAGAGATCATTGTTCTGATTGAGTTAAAGTTGAGGGATCATTACTAAAATTTACTCTTAACTTATAAAGTACCAAGTATTTGAATTTTTAAATTAACCTGGTGACATTCAACTGTCGATATTCCCCGGTTCTGGCATCCACACCAATCAATGTTGTAATTCTTAATCCTGTAGTTTGTAAGATTATCTTTCCTACCTAGAATGTGAATAATCTTTATATAACTACACTTATATATGCTCTAAATTTACATTTATGTAGTACGGGTACATTCTGCACAGCACACCCTCACTACTGGTTTAAATTACTTATAAGCTTCGGTTTTATTTATTCAAATTTTTGCTCATCATCTATACTTTATGACTTTCGTCAATTTCCAGGTGTCGGCTAGTACGCCTTGACTTCAGTTGGGGTGTGTCAAAGTTTGTGAAGCACCACTTCCAATTCCAAGCATATGATTTGGTGTTGAACAAGGCATAAATTTCATAATTTCACTTTTACTCTGGACAGTTGTATTGTGTTGACTTACAATACAGGTACTACATATTTCTCGAAAACTATTTCATTCCAATATTTGTTGTTTTAGACGTTTGTTTTTACTCTGCCTGTCCAAGAAATAAAAGTGTTGATTTTACATTCTAGTACCCACCATATACTATATTTCAGCTGAGCTCCAATACTAAGAAACCTAAGGAAACCATCACCTATTAAAAAATAATCAACTAAAAGTGAGCTAATCCCCCTTATAATCAAATTTTTATTATTTTCTAAACCGAAAAAAAAAATATGGATTGGGGTAGCTAGTAGAAATGAACAAATAAAATATCATGTGACAGTGAGTTTGGGAACCATACAAATGCATGTGTTATTTTTATCATGCTACATAGAAAGTTTGAAATCGCTTCTGTGATGCAATGGTGAAATGTAAACTATTCAAAATTTGCATACTGTAAAATAATAATGATAAAATAAAAATACACATGCACTAAAATGATCAATTGAAAATATGATTGTACCCTCAAAGTTCAATTTTCTTTAACTAAAACCCACCATAGTATATTCTCCTAGCAAAAACTTAATAACAAGGCTCCAACTCAGAAATTTTCTTAATTAAGTTTGACTTTTGCACAATTTTGTATTTTTGGATGCCTAAAATACACCTAATAACTTATATCGGATTGAACACAATATTTAATGTCATGATTTCATTGCATATTAGTAATATAATGATACGATACTAGGGATTTCATCCGTCTTATTTATTTCCTTTTAAACTCCTTAGTTGCTTTTGGTATATACATGAAATTAGGATTGCTTTTGGTTTAGTTTTTCCCTTTTCAAAATGTGTGAGGATTACGACATGATTGTAATACCATACACGTGTAAGATGAATGACATGTTTGTAGAATGATACGTGTAATATTGATCATACACATGTAAGCTAAATAATATTATGATACACTAGCTAGCCGCAACTAATGTAAGCTGAATAATATGATCATTCACTATAATGTCTGATATTAATTCATAAAATCTGGTTTTCCCCTAAACGTTACGGAAATCATATTTATCTAGGCATGCTTAATATTTGATAAAGAAAAAACATTTCTTAAATAAATGTCCACTCACACTTCCGGCTAGCTCTCCCTTGAGGAGCCTTGTCTACCAAATAGGTAAGTTCAAGCAACTTCAAGAGAGAGTTTCCTCCACATTAAGTCTTAAACATCTACTGGACAGCAGGCAATTCAAAACCAAAGCTGCTGAATACAACTAGAATAAACAAGGAATCGGGCTAAGCTATTGTCTTCATCATAACATGATTTTGGCCCCCATTTTCTAATTTCGTTCCACATTTTCACATTCTTTCCATGAATTTTATAATTCCTATGCAACAGAGTTCATTCATTGCCTATTCACAACATTACAAGGTTCTACAGAGTTCAATCCCACACCATGTTATAGACATGCTTCAACTATCAACCTGGAACGTAATCGTTAGGGTTTCAACAACTTCAGAGATACAACAATTACCATAAGTCTCATCTCCGACATTCATACAGAAAATCGAATACAATTCGAAATCAAGAATTAATCCCAAAACTGAAAGTTGAAAATTCGGAAAAAGAACTTACATTGGAGAACAGCCCACGAGAAGAGGATCATTTCTACGTCTTAGGTCGAGGTCCAATTACTGCGATATTGGCCGGAAGTTGGATGGAAAACCCTGGGTCACCGTTTCTTAAATTGGAAATTGCGGAAAACCGCCTACGAATTTATAGAAACGAACTTGGGGATTGGATACAGGACGGCAAGAGCATTCAGGATGTGTAGTTTGACAGCCTTTGGTGACCTGTGGACGACAGAGCTGTTGCGTTGGCAGTCGTCGGCTTGGGCCGCTGTTGCAGCGTGTGAAAGAGAAGAGGGAGCGAGGAGAGACAATGGGTTTCTCCCACTTTTTGGATCTTAATTCTTTTCCACATTTTTTTATATAGAATAAACCATATTATTTATCACTAAAAGTGCGTTTGGTATGTAAGATGGGACGGAACACGTTTTGATGATAATAATAGCTAGAAGTAATAATGTAATATAGTTCAAATTCGTTTTTGATAATAATCAAATATAAAAGAGAATTGTTATTAGCATTCCAAAAATCTCATTATACACTCCTCACAAGTGTATTTTTCTTTCTAATTATAGAAAGTTTGGAGTGCCAAATAAGATTTTTAAATTGCTAATAACAATTTCCTAAATTCTCTCACTTATAAATTACAAGTAAAGAAAAATACTATTAAAATTTTTCCACTTTTAATACACATCTAAATAAAAAGAGACAAAATGAAAAGGAAAAGAAATAAAATAATTTGAAATAGAAATAAAAATTAAGGGTAAATCTCATATTACTACCCTCATGTTTCATGGTTTTCAACATTTAGTACATCAAGTTTTTTCGTCCCAGAGTCATACCTAAAGTGTAAATTTTGGGACAGTCTCATACATCCGTTAGTCAAACTGTTAAGTCTCCTGTTAACTGATGACATGGCGCCCATGTGGACAATAACTGAGTTCCACGTGTCATTAAGTGGTCCACGTGGTTTTTTTTTTTTTAGAGAAAGAGTTTTAAAAAAAAATTTCCTGCCCAAAATTTTTAACCCATAATCGTGTACCTTACATTTTTCCCGCCAAATTTTTTTGGAAAAAAAATAAAATTAAATAGGGAAAAAACCCCAACTTTCAACTCTAAATCTACAAATTCAATTCCAAAAAAACTTTGAATTCTAACTCTGCAAATTCATCATTTAAACTACCAACTACCAACAAAGTTCAATTGTCAACAACTTTCAATTCATAACAAATTTCAATATACACCCTCCAATTCACACGAAAGTATCAAAAGACCACAACTTTAACAACTAATGGGTCAAGGTGTTCTTCCAAAAACCAAAATAAGAGTACCAAAAACACCAAAGATATGTCCAAAACACTAAAATCTGTCAGAAAGTTGTTTCCAAAAAACCTAAGGGCATATTCAACTATAACAAAATGAACCCTTAAACAACCTAAAGCATTAAAGCAACATCATGGAACATTCCTCCTCCTTTTCTAACCTCTTGCGGTAGACTTTGAAGTGGTTTGAGAGGCTTGAGTTGGCTGAGATAAAGGTTGTGGAGCTTTCTGAATGCATGTTGGCTGTGATGACTGAGAGGGTTATGATACCTTAGATGTTGAGGCCCAAGTAATGAACCCAAATAGCATTAGCATTGACAGATACTACACTTCACAAATAACAAATTCACTTAAGAAATGAAAAATCAACAAAAAAATATCTAAATTATACCTCATTTTTCTTGCTTTTTCTTCCTTTTCTAGCAGTTGAAGGAGGATGAGTGGTTAGGCATCTGGCCTTGTTGTGTCCCGAGTCCTTGCAAACACTACACTTCACACTTTTTTTGCCCTCTCTTGCTTAACTTGATTCATTTTCATCATCCTCCCTATTCTCCTCTTTTTTGGTTTCCCAGGTTGCCTTTTAAAAGTTGGAGGAAGAATGCATTTGTTTTCAGATGGCTCCTAAAATTTCATGCCTTGGATGGGTTGAATCAAGTTTTCGTAAGCTTCAAAGTACTTCTCCTTCTTGTACCAAGAGGAAACAAATTCCTCAGGTTATCTCCTTGCATAATAGATGGCCGAGCAACCATGTATACAAGGAAAGTCTGTCAAATCTTATCTTCTACATAAGCAAGTGCAACCATTCAAATCCACCACAAATATATTGCCTCTGCCTTCATCCACTTCAAAATTTTCTCCTAGTGTGTGAGCTTTTCAGTTTGTACTCCTCCAACATCTTCTGGATTTTTTGGCAGATAGCTTCTTTATCCTTCCACATTGCATCTCTTCTTAACCATATCCTCTTCATCAATAAAACTCTTATAGTTTCCAACATGGTAATAATAGGCTTGTCCCTAGACCTTAGGATAAAAGAATTAAAGCTCTCTCAGAGGTTGTTTAAGAGAATGTCACACTGAGTGTGTGTCTCAAAGTGTGATCTACTCCAATACAAGGCTGGTCTCTTTACCAACCGTTTATAAGCTTCGACATTCAACCTATTCACCTCAGTCATACTCTCTCTAAAATCAGTGATGGTTATTACGTTGGCAGCATTCCACAAGGCATCCTGTAATCATTTCCCTTTAAACCCATCTGCCTTGTAGTTGGTGTATAAGTGCCTAACACATAACCGATGATTACAATTAGGAAGCACTTTCTCAAAAGCTGGTATTAAACCTTTTTGTTTGTTAGAAATGAAAGTCTAAGCACGCTGATTCACAATTCCCAAGTCAGCAGCTAGCAGCTCCAGAAACCAAACTCAACTGTCCTTGTTCTCGAGCTCTACTATGGCATATGCAATAACCCAAGTTTGGTTATTTGCATCTATTCCCACTGTAGACAGTAACTGGCCCTTGAACACTCCCTTCACGTGACAACCATCCAACCCTACAAGCTGCCTATATCTATTCTTAAATCCATTTTTGCAAGCCCTTAAACAAATATAAATCCTCTGAAATATCACATGAGCATCATCATAGGGCAGCACCTTCATCTGAACTGTACTACCCGGGTTTGTCCTCCTAAGCTTATCACAGTACTCCCACAACTTTGTGTATTGATCCATGTTACTCCCCTCAAGGATTTTCAAACACTGTGCTATCACTCTGTATGCTGTCTTAAGGTGGATCTCAACCATTCTTGCCTCCTTCATTGTCTCTATAAATGTAGTGATGGGCATGCTTGGGTTGAGTCTGAACTTGTCTACATACCTCTTCACAAGCCATGCCACTTTGCAGTTAGGATTTTCCCTCCAAATCCTCGGACATTCCTATTTCCCAACATAGGTTTTCACTTGCATTGAATCTTCATTGTACATCCTGGAAGCATACAATCTCCATATACAGTTTTTCTCACACCTTGCACTAATATTCCATTTCTCATTCCTTTTTAGCTTAATAGAAAGTGCACCATGCTTAATGGAGTGAGACCACACTGCCTCTCTCAACTGTGTAGCATCTTTGAACTTCAATCTCTTTTCAAACTTTGGATCATCTTTGTCAGCTTCTTCATTAAACTCAGGGTAGATGACATTCTCATCACATTCTGAACCTGAATCGTCAACACTGTGCAGGCCATCTAAGTTTTGTCTCTCATCATCAAGGAGAACGTCTTCTACATACCTTGCATTAATAACGTCTTATGGATGTTGATTCCCAATCCCTTCACCCCTTTCAGCATCTCCAATAACACTTTCTACAGCCCTATCATCTACTGCAAGACGATCATCATCTTCCTCTACATTTACTACCACAAACAATGCATATTTGTTAAAAACATAAACTTTGCAAAAATAATTGAATACTAAAGTTAAAATTGTTAAAATAAATGTTTCAAAATTTTACCTTTATTAGCTTCTACTTTGGCCCCTTCATTAACTTATTCAGCTTCGTGACCTTCTTCCGTTTCATCACTTTCATTATCAGCATTGAGATGACCATCTTCAGCCTCATCTCCATTTCCTTGTTCTCCCTCAGTTGCTTCAGCCTCATGTTCATCATCACCATTGTATGCTATGTCATTCAAAAGACATAGCCGTTTTTCTAAGTGATCCGCACCCCTTTTTGCTCTACCCTTCTTCAGTTTTGATCTACTTCCCTTTGTAATCGAAATCGCCACCCTCGATTCCTCAATATCTTCTATAATGACACCTTTTTAATATGCCACTCTCATCTAGATTCATCAAAAGCTTATGTTTCAAGGCAGCTTGCTTTGGACTTAGATGTTCTAGGTACATTTCTATTTACCTAGCCCCTGGAACATACTTGCACATTTCACCCACATCTTGGTCCTGTTCAATAAGCCTTAATCCCTCCCTATAAGACATCCCAAGAATCCTATAGTGATACAACATAAACCCATCATATCCTAACTCCTTAACCATTTCATCAATCTCGAAAAAAGACATGAAGTCTTTGTCTACGTAATCAAACTAAGCCTCAAACCCTCCTGTATATGCATTTTCAGACCACTTCCCACCGTGGTTGATTTTAAGGCTAAATAATTCGGGCATGCCTGCAAAGTCAAGGAGAAAGGTTAAAATATCGTAAAATTTTAAGGTTTTAAAACCCAAAAAGTTAACCTAAAACACTAGTAGGACCATGAGGAAAAATGGTGAAAACAAAACCATGGGGATCATGAATACAAGGTTTTTTAAAGGTTGCAATTGGGACCACGATTGAAGACAAAACCACATGCAAATTGAAAACAATTAACAATGCAGGAAACCCACTACAAAACACAATTCCAGAAACCATAGAAAAAAAGGGATTGGAACTAACAGATCCCCCTAATCCCTAAAATTCAAAATTGAAAAATCGGAAAACCTAAACCCATATCATCTACACTTCGAAAAAAGGTAGGTTACTTACAATAAACTAGTGTTTCACCCACTTCAATCCTCCTTTTTTCCCACCCCATCGCCAGCGATGGCTTCACGACAACCTTGCCCAGAAACGGTGCCTCTTCTTTGATGTGCAAAGGTGTGCGCAACGTACGACGGCGTGTGAGGTGGAGTGACGGCGAGGTCGAGTGATGGGGAGTTTGGTAGGGTTTCGGACGGAGATTGGGGGTCGCGATTTATGGGGGAGTGAAAAGTGGTTTTCACTTTTCACTTTTTCACTTTTACCTAATCCCCTCTAAAAAATAAATAAAAAATCCACATGGACCCTTAATGACATATGGTGCCCAATCAATGTCCACATGGGCACCACGTCATCAGTTAACGGGAGACTTAACAGTTTGACTAACGGATGTATGAGACTGTCCCAAAATTTACACTTTAGGTATAACTCTGGGATGAAAAAAACTTGATGTACTAAATGTTGAAAACCACGAAACATGAGGGTAGTAAACTGAGATTTACCAAAAAATTAAAGGTAAACTAACAACATAAGGTAATCAGCCATGGTAATACAAAATTATTATAAAACTTTGTAGGGCTGTGGAATCTTCATTTTAGTTCTGAATTTCGTTCTGCTTGCGCTCACACGTTCATATTGATGAGCATTACGAGAAAATATTACGATGATATGTCATACGTGAGTTTTCGCTGAAAATTTTTTTTGATGGATTTTGCAATATGGCAGCCATGATTTGCAGAGCCCACCATCGTAAGGCAGGCGAATTGGAGATAATATTATGCTTTTGAAGGAGTTTCTTAAAAATTACCATAGAAATAATGGTCCTCCTAGATGTGCCTTGCAGGTGGACATTCTGATAGCTTATGATACCTTGTTGGAAAATGGGGTTACTAGGATTAGGCTGGTTCATAGTTCGATTCCATTTAATTGTAATTGGAAGAAGAAAAAAAAATTACTAAAAACACTTTCAAACGAATTCGTACAAAATTTATATGTTACGACTAATAGTAAGCCTACTATTGTTCAAAATCGATTACCAATTCTAATTGTGATGTTTGTACCGTGAAACAACGTGATGCCACGAAGAAGATGGCTCAAGCCATGTATTGTCCTTTGAGAAGTTGGGGTTGGGAAGCATTGCATCTAATTTTCTTTCACTTTATCCTTTTCTTGTTAAAGAGAATACCAAATGGTTCGTGAGCAAAGCATCCAAATCTTTTTCACTTTTTTCTTGATAAAGAGAAACACAAAATGGGTTCGAAAGCAATACACCACATTCTCCTTCACTTTGTCTTTTTCTTGTTAAAGGAGGATGAAAATACCTTACTTTAGAATCACCTCCTCTTGAGGTATTGCTTGTTAGATATATTTTATTGCTTCTCTATTTATATTGTTAGAAAACTCTTATTAACCCTTCCCCATTGAAGTTATCTGCTCATATATTTGCATTGTTGAGGTAACATAATCTGTCCTCTTTGTGCATGATACCATTCAACATTCATATTTTCTAGCAAATTCGTGAAGTATCAATACCAGTACTAGACACATGAGTTGTTGCTAAATAAAGCATAGATTTCAGAATTTCATTTTTGTTCTGCCGGACAATTACATTGAGTTGATTTACAATACAGGTACATATGTACATCTTGGAAACTTTATTTCTTTTCAATATTTATCGTTTTAGGTGTTTCTTTTTACCCCTGTGTGACTAAGAAACTAAAGTGTTGGATTTACATTATATTTTCTAGCAAATTCGTGAAGCACCAGGTCTAGTACCAGACATATTGTTGTTGAACAAGGCATAGATTTCAGAATTTCATTTTTTTCTCTGCCGAACAGTTGCATTGGGTTGATTTACAATACAGGTACGTATGTACTTCTTAGAAACTCCATTTCTTTTCAATATTTATTGTTTTAGGTGTTTGTACTATATGTTATTGTGTTTTGATGTTCAACCACGTCAGCTAATCCACCCTTACAATCGAAATTTTTATTTTTCTCATCGCAATACAAAAAGTTTGAAATCGCTTCCGCTATATGGTGGTGAAATGTACACTATTTGAAATTTGCATATTGTAAAATAATAAGGAGTAAATAAATATACACATGCACTGAAACCATCAACTGAAAATATGACTTTATCCCTTAAAATTCAATTTTCTTTTACTAAAACTCATCATATTATATTTTCCTAACAAAAACTCAATGACTTTACATGTATATTTTTTTTTGCTTCTCCTGTTTATATTGTTAGAAAGCTCTAATTAACTCTTCGCCATAGAAGTTATCTGCTCATATATATTTGCATTGATGTGCATGATCTGCCCTCCTTATGCATGCTAACATTCAGCATTCAAATTTTCTAGCAAATTTGTGAAGCACCACTACCAGTACCTGACATATGACTTGTTGCTAAACAAGGCATAGATTTCAAAATTTCAATTTTAATTTGCCAGACAATTGATTGCGTTGATTTACGATACAGGTACGTACGTACTTTTCGAAACTCTATTTCTTTCCATTATTTGTTGTTTTAGACGTTTGTTTTTACCCTGCCTGACCAAGAAACAAAAGTGTTAATTTAACATTCTAGTACCCGCCAAATATTGTATTTCGGCTGAGCTCCAACACTATGACTAGGCGCCAACTCAACAATTTTATTGATTAGCTTTGACTTCACATAGTTTTGTATTTTTAGATGTCTAAAATACCCCTAGTAACTTATGTCAAATTAAAAACAAATTTTAAAATCATGATTTCATTGCATATTAATAATAATAGGATATGATGCTAGGGTTTTCATTTGTTTTATTTTTTTCCCCTTTAAATTCCTTAGTTGCTTTTCAAATTTGCATAAATTAGGATTTTTTTTTTGGTTTAGTTTTTCCGTTTTCAAAATATGTGAGCATTAGTTACCAACAAAATATAAGAATGTTATTTTTTTTCCAAAATTATTTAATTATATTCTATATAAATATAGGTAAATTATTTCTCTACACATATATAATAACAATAAAATGTGGTTAATGTATGTAATAATACATGCAAAATAATTTACCTTCAACATAAAGGATGTGATTTGGTTCAAGATTTATTTTACCTATATTTCACATATAGGTATAGGTAAATTATGAAAGATTCATTTTTTTTTTAATTTTTTTTTATTTTTATTTTTGTCTTTTGGCTTAACATATATAGATAAGTAAATCATTTTTTGTCATTTGGTTTGATATAAAGGATGTCATGTGTCATTTGGTTCAAAAAAATATAAGTAAATTATTTTATGAAGATTATCATTATATAATAATAATAAAAAGGAGAATATATATATATATATATATATATATATATATATATATTGTTTCAATTATGTAAATAGTTTGTAATATGAGGTTATTTCTTTGTCTACATGTCAATGGATTTAGATTCCGTTTACAAGAGTTAATACCAAACATACAATTTCAGTTGCCCTTGGACAGAAGCCACTAAATGAGTAAAGGACAACGGGACGAAACAACCTTCTACCTGGCCTATGTACCTTGCCACTTTCAATAAAAACAGGTGTGTTTCAATTTGATATTTAAATATATGTGGATTTTGGGCTGCCCATTGTGTGACTTTACCGAACTCCCCCTCCCATTAATGTAAAAATATCGATGTACTAAAAAATATATATGTGGATTTTTGTTTAAAAAGTAAAATTACAAAGGTCTATTTCTAAAGAACCCTATGTATCAACAACAATTTCAACTAATTCAAGTCCAGCAGCACAATAAACTCAAATAAAAATTCAATTATTTTAAACACAGTGATGATCTTATATTCAAAGATAATTTTGATCTAGGTGCTTGATTTTTGAATTTGATAGACCCAACATCCCTAGCTTTTAGACTTTTTATTAAACTACTTTCTACAATTTTGGTGCCACGATTTTTAAAACGTCCTCTTTCTAAAATTCAAAATAACATGAACTGTCATTAATCCACCAATTTATTCCAGAAACAATATCCAAAGCTCCTAAATCTAGCCTTCTTTAAACCAAAATTATTATTATTACTCCAACATAAAAATACATAATTATTAAGTTATCAATCAATGATATGTACCAAAAATTAAAATTATACATACCAAAAACTAAAATGAAACGTACCATTAACTAAAATAAAACATACCAAATACTAAAACTAAACATACCAATCAATGATATGTGCACAACTGAACATACCAAAAAACAAAATTAAGTATGAAAACCAATAATAAACGTACCAATAATGTATACAAAATAATTCTCTTAATAAAATGTATATATAACAATTTAAAAAATATAAACATCCACCATTTTCGTTATCTTGAACGTAAAATTATATTTTAATTTTAGGAGAAAAAATATTTTGTACGAAAAAATTATTAAAAAGAGAATTGGATAAATATATTGAATGAAAAACCAAGATTATCTCCAAAAAAAATCGCTTAACTAATTAAAGGACAAATTAAGAAACCAATATACAGTGAGGTATATGGTAATGGCATGAGGATGAATGAAAAAACAACGGAATAAAAAAAAATAAAAAAAAATTAAAACTAAAAAATGGCCACGATATATTCCGTTATCATATTGTGAAATCTTACAATATTGGGGACATCGTGATATTATATGATATCTCGCAAAACAGTTTTCGTGATGTGATACTAGCTAATTGTAATACTTTTGTAATAATATAGTACTAAAAACTGAAGTAAACATACATGTAATAGTTCATTTGTCACACAAGTCTATACTTGTCATGGATATTTTTTGATAGATCTTTGTGACTCATTTCGAACTAATACTAACTAATTGTTAGTCAAGTGAGAAATTTTCTAATTAGAGAAAAAGGGCCTAAATTTGAATCGTAACTCCAGCTTTGATAAAATAAAAATAAAAATAAATACCACTTAGATTTAAACAGGACAAAAATATCTAATATTGTGTTGGGGTAGTGCTTCTTTGGTTTTAGGTAGTAGAGCACTGAGCACGAGACTTAAAAAAGCTACCAACAAAGAGGAGCATTCAAGCCATGGTCTTTGATTTCAGAAGGAAATGGAAATTATAATTGCAATTGCCTCAAAAATTGGAGAGTCATTGGTCGCACCAATAGGAACAGAGTCTGCCTATTTGATTAATTACCATTCCAACCTAGAAAATCTTAAGCGTGAGATAAAAAAGCTCTGTGACAAGAAAAATGGAGTGCAGGGATGGGTAAATGCTGCCAAAAGGAACGGTAAATTTATCCACCCTGATATTCAGAGTTGGCTAAAGAATGTGGACGAAATGATCCAAAAAGTGTCGCATTTTGAGGTTGAGATTAACAGGAAAAGGCGATGTATGTATCGATGGAGCTTGAGTCGGAAAGCCTATAAGATTACACAACATGTTCTCCAGCTCCAAAACGAAGGAACATTTGAAAATGTGGCCCATGCTGCTCCTTCACGAGAGATATGGTCAACATTCAAAGACGGATTTAAACATTTCAAGTCCAGAATGGAAAACATGAATGAGGTGATAGAGGGTTTGAAGAGGGAATAAGTAAGAATGATCGGGATTTGTGGAATGGGGGGTGTGGGTAAAACCACACTGGCGAAAGAAATCATCAAAAGATTAGCAGAACTGAACATGTTTGATAAAACTGTAATGGCAACTGTGTCTCAAAGCCCAAGTATTAAGACGATCCAGTTGGACATTGCAGCACAAATAGATTTGAAATTTGATAAGGATTCTAAGTCCGGAAGAGCACTAAAGCTGCATGACAGACTCATGGAAATAAGGAGGATCCTGATTGTGTTAGATGATGTATGGACAGAGCTTAATTTTGAGGCTATAGGACTTCCTTATGCACATACTCATAAAGGGTGCAAAATTTTGTTGACATCACGGAATTTGGAAGTCTGCGATGCGATGGAAAGTCAACAAATTATTGCGGTCCCAACTTTAACAACAGAAGAATCACGGGAGCTCTTTAGAGAAATCGTAGGTGAATCCTTCGATGATCCAGATTTCCATTCCATTGCAGAAGAGGTCGTGAATGAATGTGGAGGTTTACCTATTGCTATTGTAACTGTTGGAAAAGCCCTAGAAAAGAAAAAGAAGCACGAATGGGTTAATGCCCTTAATCAGCTGCGAAAGTCTATCCCAAAGAACATCCCTGGACTAGACGACAAAGTTTATTCAAGCATAAAATGGAGTTATGATGGATTGGAGAGTGATGAAGCCAAGCCATGTCTTTTACTTTGTTGTTTATTTCCAGAAGATTATAACATTCCAATTGAGGATTTGGTTCGATATGGGTGGGGTCGAGGATATTTTAGCAGCAGCGATACTTTGGAAGAAGCAAGAAATAAAGTGCATTCTTTGGTTGACCAACTACAAAGAAGGTTTTTGTTACTAGATGGTGGCAGGAGTGAGACAATAAAAATGCATGACATAGTTCGCGATGTTGCCATATCAATTGCTTCAAGAGATCCACATGGATTTCTGATAAGAAGTAATGCTGAAAATAAAGGGTGGCCAAATTTAGCTACATATGACCATTGCACTACAATCTCACTTGTTGGTAAATTGGAGATTCCAGTTGGTTTGAAATGCCCAAAACTTGAGTTTCTACAGACGATGAAAGGACGTTTTTCAGAAGGTAGCATGGACATCATTTGTGATGCGATGAAAGAACTGAAGGTTTTAGCTTTGGTGGAAATGGAAGACCTAGGCTCATCAAGATCACTAGGATTACTGAAGAACCTGCGGACCTTGTGCCTAGATGGGTCTAAATTTGATGGCACGTCTGCTGATGTTATTGGGAGTTTGGAGAATTTAGAAATCCTCAGCTTTCGGGATTGTGATTCCATGCGTGAGTTGCCGAGGGAAATTGGACGACTTAAACAGTTGAGGTTGTTAGATACGACAAACTGCGAGGAACTTGAGGTGATTCCACATGGTATCTTCTCCAGCTTATGTAGACTTGAAGAGTTGTATATGGTTAATAGCTTTAACGAATGGGAAATTGGAAGAGGAAGAGAAGAAAAGGGGATGGCAAGCATTTCTGAGGTGATGTCTCTGTCCGATCATTTGAAGGTTCTAGCCATAGAGATACCCAGTGTCATCCACTTGTTGACAAAAGACATAGTCTTGAAAAGCCCAACAATAAGATTCCTTATACGCTGTGCAACATGGGTAGGGCATTTTTCGGAGATGAGTACTTATGCATTCGAAAATTGTTTGGAGATTAGTGAAAGTGATGCAAGGGAGTTGGAGGAGAGTCAAGCAGTCAGACTTTTGTTGAAAAAATCTAAAAAATTGTATTTGTCGGAGGTTAAGAATTTCTCTGTCCTCACTGATTTAGACCAAGAAGGATTTCAAGATTTGAAAGATTTGGATCTTTGGTATTGTCCACATATCGAGTATCTTGCAAATGGAACAAGTGGGTTTTTGACCAACCTAAGATTCCTTAAATTGGGAAGTTGTGGTGTCTTAAAATATGTATTTTCACTATCAGCAGCGAGAAACTTGGTACAACTCCAAGAATTAAACATTGATGGATGTGATCAAATGGAAGAAATTGTATCGAAGCAGGGGAGGGAACATGAGGAGGAAGCCGATATGATACCTTTCCATAAATTAACCAATTTGACTCTCGAGGGTCTAGGGAGTTTGGTTGGTTTCTTCCAAGCCAAGAAGCTATACTCCAACCAAGAGGTATGTCCCACTCTCCAATCTCTATGATATGAGGAGGCAGCCGATATGTGGAAATTTGAAATTGTGTTAACTGATAATGATTTTTCTTTTTCAGGAAACAACGGCAAGGGTTGAGCATCAATCTGCAGGCATATTTGAAAAAGCAATATTCCCATCAACGTGCATTTCATGGTTTCCAAGTTTAGAAAAGGTGAGATTGGGATTTATGGAGTTTGAAGGCGTGCTATTTGATCTTAAAATCCATGTTATGGATGGGCAGGCAGCTCCAACTTTTCCCCAGTTACGTGGGTTGGAGATAATTTTTTGTTCGTTTACACATTTGTGGAAAAACATTCGGTCTGGATTTCAGGATTTCCGAAATTTGAGATGTTTGGATATAAGAGAATGTTGTGGGCTAAAATATGTGTTCTCGCATTTAATTGCCCGAGAACTTTTGAATCTTGAAGAGGTAAAGATAGCAAAATGTCCGAACATGGAAACTATAGTCAGAATCACAGAGCAAAATGAAGAAGAGGCGACAAAATACATGATTTTGTTTCCGAAACTGAACACATTTGAACTAGAAGACCTGCCTCGTCTCACAAGTCTTTGTCCAGAGGGATTTACATTTCTATGGTCATCCACAAAAAAAATGCACGTGAAAAGATGTGAAAATTTGAAGACATTGGGTGCTGTAATTCCACAAAGAAAGAAGTTGGAGAATAACTTGAAGAAGGATTCAACAAGTCATGATTTTAGCACTTCTCCAACACGTTCATCAAATTGGTGCCCTGCTGGATGTGGATGCGCACCGTATTCAAGACCAAACGCCCACCGCCCCATTGAAATATTGCCACGTCCAATTAACCTGGAGGTAAGCTTTTAAATCAGGTTCAATTAACCTCTATAAGTACAACTTTTAATCAGTATTGTATCATCTTGTTGATCGTGCTTAATTTTCTAGGTTACACCAACTAATCTTGAGGACTCAAATGATGATGATAATCTCGAAAATCTTACTGTAAGTGACTGTAATTCGATGGAAGTGATTTTCCAACTCAAGGGACCGAAGCATGAAGAAAGTAGTCACTCCATTGAAGCATTCAATAAATTGAGTTCCTTGCGGTTAGATAGATTGCCAGGTTTAACGCGTGTTTGGGAGACGGGTAGTTCACAACCGATGTTGACAGGAAGCAGCTTCGGAAACTTGAAATCGCTGGAGGTTGGTTTTTGCAACCAGTTGAAATACTTGTTTTCATCGTCCATAGTCAAACTTCTCGTGAGTATAGAGGACATAGAAGTTCATAACTGTGAGAAGATGGAAGAAATCGTTGCCGCAGAAGAAGAAACTGATGAAACAATTACATTACCTAAAGTGAAGTCCATCAAGCTTGAAAGTCTGCCAAAACTCAAGTATTTTTGTGGTGAAGCTTATACTTTGAAGTTGCCGTCTTTGGAGTTATTGGAGTTTGATGACGTGCAAAACTTAAGCCTATTAGCTCCAAAGCTTATTGCCACACATCCCCGATTGCAAGTACGCACCGCGTTGGGAGTGGCTGAATGGAAGGGGGACCTCAATGCCACTCTAAGGAATATTTACGTCACAAGGTATGCTTTAATATAAGGTTTTTAATTTCCAATCATTTATGGCAAACACCACAAAAAATTCGACAACAAATTTAGGCAAAGCATAATCAACAGTTCAGATTTAGTTTGACGAAAGTGTAATCAAAATTTAGTCAAAAACCATATACACACACACACACACACATATATGTATATATGTATATATGTATGTGCGTATGTGCACACTAGAGTGTATTTAGATATGTTTTTCTTCTTTTGAAAACTCAATTATATCTCAAGAAAACTTCTGTCTTTTATTTCTAACACAGGAAGGGTGAAGATGATGAAATCGACAGGGAGGACGAACACAATTAATTGATCAAGCACAAAGGTTAACATGTCTCCATCTTCAACTTCTTCTAGGCTTAGAAACTGCTATTTTCGGAAACACATATACAATAAGCATAACCGTTTCAACTTATTTGAGTTTCAGTGATTTCTAATATTCTCCAATGCATGCAGGACAACAATTCAAAGAAGGTTGTGGCTTCAACAATTCGTTTACCATCTCATATGTACAAACCAATAAAATGTCATTTGTTGCATCAGACTTTCATTCCAAAATACTATTTATGTTGCTTATTTTATGCATGTATAATAAATTTCGAGTGTGATTGTTACTGTTTGTATCTAAGTTCGCATTATTAATGTATGTTTATTTGCACCAAGAAATGAGAAATGCTTATGTAAAAATAAATGAATAAGATTAAACAAGAAAAACTTTACGCTACTCAAACTTGCAAACACTCAAACTACAAGCATTATGAATAAACACGGAATCAGGCTACGCAATTGCCTTCATCATAACATGATTTTGGCCCCCATTTTATAATTTCCTACCACATTTTCACATTCTTTCCATGAATTTTATAATACATATGCAAAAGAGTTCAATCTAGGGGCTCCAAAAATATCACAGACAGAACAATTAACACAAATCGAATAAAAATTTGAAATCATGAATCGATCCCAAAACTGAAAGTTGAAATTTTTGAAAAGAACTTACATCGGAGGACAGCCCACCGGGACAGGATCATTTATACCTCTTGGGTCGAGAATATTGGCCGGAAAACCGCGGTCACCGTTTCTTTGATCTGAAATTGAGGAAATTTGGCTACGAATCTGTAGAAACTAACTTGGGAGTTGGAAAGAGGACGGAAAGAGGAGTCTGGATATGTAATTTGACGGCCGTTGGTGACCGGTGGACGAAAATAAACTTCATGCGAAAACAAGACCAGATTGAGGTAAGAAAGAAAAATACATACGCAGAAATAACATGTCAGTCAGGCAAGACAAGTAATTGCAACCATAACAGAACACAATGAAGAAACATACCATGAGGATTTTGAACAAACATAATGAAGTGTAACCAACAGCATACAAATATCAAAAATATAGAAAAGAATGCTATACAATCACTATAAGTGATTTCAAAGGCCATCTTCTATTTCTGTTTCTGGGAAAAAGTCATGTCGTCAAGATATCATTCCATTTCCTTACCATGATGAGTAAAATGAAATTTGAACTTGCTTGCTGTTCTTGCATATCTTCTCCTCATCCTGGTTACCAACCCAGCAAGTCTTCACCAATCCATCTATGATGTACGTACGTCATTGTAATATCATGTGATGCAGCTTACCTAGATTATATTTCCTGTAGCCTAAGTTTAGATATTTCCTTTGCAGAGGGTATAGCGTGCAAGGTCCTAAGAACTTTACCAAATTATCATCCTTCGAGTATAGAAAATCTTCCAAATGTATAAACGAAATAAACTTGTGACAGAACCAAAGAATGCAAATGCTTATCATCATTTACTAATCCATATGCATAATTTAAACATTTTCATATTCATTAGAAGCATACAGAAAAGATACATGGCACACAAGATATGTACTTTTCGACGTAGGAGCTCAATTCTTGTATACAGACACACTTCCTTTAGCTTGCATTGGACCTCGTACTTTCCACTAATGTAAATGCCACATCAAAAGTGAAAGAGCGACTCCGGAAACCAATTACATCCATGTGCTTGCACTTCAATGCAGAAACAGAACAAAACATAATCCTAAAGTTTTCGGACCATCATTAAACACGCAAGCATAACAAACATTCACAATCCAGCAAATGGGTGTTCATAATTTCAAGCAGAAACACCAAAAGTCAAAGAAAATAATGAATTAAATTATGAAAAATTTTGTACTCAAGTATCTCCCGTGAACTTGAACCAAGTCTCAGCACATTGCTTATAAGCAGCACCCAAATCCCCCTTGCAAGAACACCCCAAGTCAATCGGGACCCCAGAGGCAGGGTCGGTCCCACCACCTCCCTCCAAACCCAAGTGGCAAATCCTGCAATTTCTCTCAACTTTACTCAAATGCACCACCTTCTTCACCTTCGAAACCCCACTCTCTCCACTGAACAGCATTGGATGTCGTCAGAGTCATCCGAGTCCGACGCACCGCTGCCTCCGGTGGCCAAACGGCGGTGGTGGGTTGTCTCGGGAGCTGACATTCGTGAAACCCAGAAAGAGAAATGGCGTGAAATGGTAAAGTGTTAAAGTTGCGGCATTCGGAGATCAAACATGGTGGGGTTATAGAGCAGGTGGAGATGTTTTTTCTCTATCCTCAATCAAAATATCAATCTGCAGGCATATTTGAAAAAGCAATATTTCCATCAAAGTGCATTTCATGGTTTCCAAGTTTAAAAGATGTACGTTTGGAATTTATGAAGTTTGAAGGCGTGCTATTTGATCTGAAAACCCATGGCCAGACAACTCCAATATTTCCCCAGTTACGTGAGTTGCGGATATTCGATACTTCGTTTACACACTTGTGGAAAAACATTCCGTCTGGATTTCAAGGCTTCCAAAATTTGAGATATTTGCACATAAGTTATTGTTCTGGTCTAGAATATGTGTTCTCGCATTTAATTGCCCGAGAACTTTTGAATCTTGAAGAGGTAGAGATATCAACATGTCTGGACATGGAAACTATAGTCAGAATCACAAAGGAAAAAGAAGAAAAGGCGACAAAAGACATGATTTTGTTTCCGAAACTGAACACATTTGAACTAGAAGACCTGCCTCGTCTCACAAGTCTTTTTCCAGAGGGATCTACATTTGTATGGTCATCCACAAAATATATGCTGGAGAATAACTTGAAGAAGGATTCAACAAGTCATGATTTCAGCACTTCTCCAACATGTTCATCAAATTGGTGCCCTGCTGGATGTGGATGCGCACCATATTCAAGACCAAACGCCCACCGCCCCATTGAAATATTGCCACGTCCAATTAACCTGGAGGTAAGCTTTTAAATCAGGTTCAATTAACCTCTATAAGTACAACTTTTAATTAGTATTGTATCATCTTGTTGATCGTGTAATTTTCTAGGTTACACCAACTAATCTTGAGGACTCAAATGATGATGATAATCTCGAAAATCTTACTGTAAATGACTGTAATTCGATGGAAGTGATTTTCCAACTCAAGGGACCGAAGCAGGAAGAAAGTAGTCACTCCATTGAAGCATTCAATAAATTGAGTTCCTTGCGGTTAGATAGATTGCCAGGTTTAACGCGTGTTTGGGAGATGGGTAGTTCACAACCGATGTTGACAGGAAGCAGCTTCGGAAACTTGAAATCGCTGGAGGTTGGTTTTTGCAACCAGTTGAAATACTTGTTTTCATCGTCCATAGTCAAACTTCTCGTGAGTATAGAGGACATAGAAGTTCATAACTGTGAGAAGATGGAAGAAATCGTTGCCGCAGAAGAAGAAACTGATGAAACAATTACATTACCTAAAGTGAAGTCCATCAAGCTTGAAAGTCTGCCAAAACTCAAGTATTTTTGTGGTGAAGCTTATACTTTGAAGTTGCCGTCTTTGGAGTTATTGGAGGTTATTAATGTGCAAGACTTAAGGCCATTTGATTCTAAGCTTGTTGACACGCATAATCCCCGATTGCAAGTAAAACCCACATTTCGACAGGAATGGACAAGGTATGCTTTAGATTAATGTTTCTAATTTGCATTCACTTTTGTGTCCACCTGAAAGACCGCATCATCAATATACAACCACTGAACCAACAAAGATGACGAAATCGACGGCAAGGATGACGATGACAAAATCGATGGCAAGGATGAAGATGACGAAACCAACAGGGAGGACGAACACAATTGATTGATCAAGCACAAAGGTTAGAATGCTTCCATCTCCAACTTCTTCTAGGTTTAGTAAAAACTGATGAAAATTATCTATATAGTACTCACAAAAATATTCTACCATGTTTTATATAATATATACATACATGTATAGCACTTAAAAAAATTGAACAGTTTGGATCTAAAACCACAATCTGCTACCTGTTTCATTTTTTCGAGGTACCTAATAGCAATTAAGGTGAGAGGAAGAAGCATTTCAGATTACCAACTGCCTCAAGAGAAACCTTTATCAGAAACACATATACAATAAACATAACCGTAGTGCTAAGTGGCCTAAAAATTAATTTATCCTTAAACCGCTATTTTTGGAAACACATATACAATAAGCACAAGCGTTTCAACTTATTCCAATTTCAGTGATTTCTAATATTCTCCAATGCATGCAGGAAAAGAGTTTAAAGAACGTTGTGGCTCCAGCAATTCGTTTACCATATCATATGTACAAACCAATAAAAGGACATTTGTTGCACCAGAATTTCATTCCAAAAATACTATTTATGTTGCTTATTTTATGTACCATAAATTTCGATTGCGATTATTACTGTTTGTTTCTAAATTCGCATCATTAGTGTTTGCTTATTTGTGCTCGAGGTTGATTATACACGTGTAAGCTGAATCACATGTTTGTAGAATGGACAAGCTGAATAAAATCTGTTTGCCCCCTAAATGTAATGGAAATCATATGTATCTAGGCATGCTTAATATTTGATAAAGAAAAACATTTCTCAAATAAATGTCCACTCACACCTCCGGCAAGCTCTCCCTTGAGGAGCCTTGTCTACCAAATAGGTAAACATCTACTGGACAGCAAACTGCTGAATACAACTAGAGTAAACAAGGAATCAGGCTATGCAATTGCCATCATCATAACATGATTTTGGCCCCCATTTTCTAATTTCCTACCACATTTTCACAATCTTTCCATGAATTTTATAATTCCTATGCAACAGAGTTCGTTCATCGCCTATTCACAACAATACAAGGTTCTACAGAGTTCAATCCCACACCATGTTATAGACATGCTTCAACTATCAACCGGGAACGTAATCGTTAGGGGTTTCAACAACTTCACTGATACAACAATTACTATAAGTCTCATCTCCGACATTCATACAGAAAATCGAATAAAATTCGAAATCAAGAATCAATCCCAAAACTGCAAGTTGAAAATTTGGAAAAAGAACTTACATTGGAGAACAGCCCACGAGAAGAGTATCATTTCTACCTCTTGGGTCGAGCTCCAATTCCGGCGATATTGGCCGAAAACCCCTGGGTCACCGTTTCTTAGATTTGAAGTTGAGGAAAATCGCCTACGAATTTATAGAAACTAACTTGGGGGATAGGATAAGGGACGGCAAGAGCATTCTGGATGTGTAGTATGAGAGCCTTTGGTGACCAGTGGACGACAGAGCTGTTGCGTCGGCACTCGGCAGTCTTCGGCTTGCTGTTAAATGGGGCTCCTGTTGCAGCGCAACGCAAAAGAGAAGGAGGAGAGAGGATACGGGAGAAGGAGAGAAAATGGGTTTCTCCAACCTTTTTCATTAGTTCTTTTCCACATTTATTTATGGAATAAACGATAATATTTATCATCAAAAGTGTGTTTGGTACGTGAGATGAGAAGGAACATGTTTTGATGATAATAATGGCTAAAACTAATATAGTTCAAATTTTTTTTAGTGATAATTGAATATAAGATTTCTCTTACAAGTTACAAATAAAAATGAATATCATTAATTTTTTTTCACTTTTAATACACATGTAAATAAAAAGAAACAAAATGAAAATGAAAAGAAATAAAATAATTTGAAATAGAAATGAAAAATAAAGGTAAATTGACAGCATAAGGTAATCAGCCATGGTAATACAAAATTATTATACTATCCTTAAACATTGTAGTGCCATGGAATCTTCATTTTAGCTCTGAATTTCCTTCTGCTTACGCTCACGCGTTCATATTGATGAGCACTACGAAAAAATATTAAGATGATAGGTCATACTCATACGTTCGTTTTTGTTGAGAATTTTTTTGAAGGATTTTGCAATATGGCAACCATGATTTGCAAAGCCCACCATCGTAGAGCTCGATATCGGCTTGACTTGTGGAGCCACCATCGCAAAGAAGAACCTGGAAAGCTCAATCCTTGTCTTTTTCTTATATAAGTGTCATTTTGGTGAACCAAATGTTCCGATTCCAACATCCAAAATACCACAATGTGATTTTTTTTCATACTACAATTGGATTGCATCTTAAAATTATGAAGTCTTGGAGCATTGGTCATGCCATCATGCTGATTTGTGTTGGATTTCGTTAGAGATCGTAATTAATCAATCACCCTTTTTGTGTCTCCCTTCAAAAGCTCAAATTGAAATCTGAACTCCCTAGCAAATAAGAGCCCAATTTGACAACCAAAATCTTCATCGTTCGAGCATCAATGTTCTCTTAAATTCACTACGAGCAAACCGCCATGAAATCTCCTTCATGGACATCTCATAAAATTAGAACGATACAAAGAAGATTAGTGTGACTCCTAAGCTAGGATTACACGTATGAATCGTAAAATAGTTCCTCCTCCACTATTTGATTCTCTCTTTCACTGGCTAACAATATTTTGCTCTACCTTTTCACCCTAAGTAAGAAATGAGCATTTTGTTAGCATCTTTTTGAAAATTTCAAATTTGATCCTAATATATCTCTTTTGCACTATTTGACTGAACGACAAATTTTGATTGTCTAAATATTTATATCAAAATACAAATAATATTGATATTATATATTTATAATGTGACTGGAATTGTAGTACCCAACATATCTATCTTGAAATAAATTTTGTTGTCTATGAAGTGGCCAACTCGACCCTCTCCTATACTCTTTGAGTTTGTATAAATATATCATTGTTTAACAATTGACATTCAGTACTGCGATTTAGTGATATTCATTATCAGGTTCGAATCTTAGGAGTAACGAGTTTGTGTAAATATATCATTGTATTAAAGAAAAACAAAAAAATAAAAAATAAAACAAAATATTTTTTTTTGGTCTGACAAAAACACGAAAATGCCCTTAATGCCCAAAGTGACCCCACTACTGACACACCCCGATCCAGAGGATCCAGGCGTGCTGGCCGTCACGTGAGCGTGACGTAACCATAAGTGCGACACGGAAGCGAAACAACAACATACATAAGAAGGAATTCAAACCAAACTCTAGCAGAACAACCTACTAGAATAACAGGACGAGTTATAATGTAAACACATAAATTCAGAGCATAGGTTTAAGTGCAGTCAAGTAGGACTAAAATAAAAGTACATCGCTCTCAGGTGAGTCCTACATGTCAAGAGTTTGTCAGAAAGCCGAAATAAGACCTCGAGAGTCACAAACTGCTAACTAGAACCTGGAGGGGCGCAAAACAAAATGAGTGGGTCAGTAAAACCAAAGAGTTTTCCAAAACAGTTCATTTAAAACATTTCTAACCCCTCACCGTAAAAACCTGTATACTTCCCCAGAAAATAGTATATAAACATATATATATATATACACGCAACATCAAAACTCAACTCATATCCATCATTACAACATCTCAGAAATGATATGCCATGCACAAAATATAATCAGAATGCATCAATATCAATCAGGTGAAATAATACATCAACCGGAGATCCTACAATGGTCATGTACGGCTGATTCTAAAGCTCAACATCTAATCCAACCGGAGTCACCTCGGTGACCTGTACGGTCCAACTCTGCACGTCACTCGGAACTACATATAGTAGTCTGTACGATGACAGGTGTATAAATACGCTCTAGTGCTTCTCTCATCAATCAACAGCGCGCATAACTAAGGTCACCCACTAGTCGGAATCACATCTAGTGATATGTACGACTAGCATGTCAGAACCCTCACATGGTCTGTACGACATCCACCTACTTGGATCCAAGACGAGCGTGCGGTGTGGTGAATAACAATATAAGCACTAACACCTAGGTGCAACTTATGAGCTTTCAATGCAATTCATATAAAATAACTCAGCTGAATAATAATAAAACTCACATGTGCGTCCACCGCGTCAATTCACATATATATGCATCAATTATCAAACTAAATATCTCAACAATTGCATGCATGGCAAATAAATTCATAATTTTCACATAAACGTATTTTCTGGGAAAAACAGTTGTATATAGGTAATACGAAATCAGAACTGCCCACTCACTGATAAGTCGATGGATCGTAACCCCCGTGACGTCCTTGGATGCACTCGTCCTCGGGATAGGTGTCACCTATATGCGAAACAACTATAAAAACGTTAATTTTAAACACATAACCATTAATTCGAAATAACTTCTCATACGATGCTCAATTTGGGTATATGAATATACCACATCGACCTACTCGACGTCACGGACGTCGAGGAATTTTTAGAAAAAATTTTAGGCTTGCCACGCGCCCCCACGCGCCGTGGGTGGCACAGGTCCACGCGCCCCCACGCGCATCATCTTCAACCTCAGCTCGCCGGACTGGTTTTTCCGGCGGTCGGTTTCTGGCGAACTTTGAAACTCTTTGTTCTCCTTCGTTTCTCAACCATTTTCTTCGTATTTTATACCAAAATGAAGCCCCAAACATGTAGAATCACGATAGACTAGTTTAAGGCTCTAAAAATCAAGAAATCTCACCAGAAAATTTCCAAGAAAATCGGCCAAAGTTGAACCACGTGATCCTGACGTCCAAATCCTTCAAACGAAGTACTCCGAGCCTCCTTGGGACCTTACTAAGCTCACTACAAGCTTAGAATTCCCTAAAAATAAACATTTTACGTTTGCATGAATAGTGACCAAAAATGAAGGTTCGGGTTTCACGTGATTCCGAGGATTTCACTTCCTAAAACTAGTACCAATCAACTTAAAATGACTCAAGGATGAAGATGCATACCTTGGTTGCCTCGATCCACCGAGATTTGGGAGGTTTTGGGTGTGTCCGTACGTATGGGTGTGTGTGAGAGAGAGGGAGTCGAGATGGAGGAGAGAGAGAGAGGCTACAGGAATGAGAGGGAGAGAGAGAGGGTTTGTGATGTCCAAAAACAATCCCCACCATCCATTTTACATCCCTAACCAAAATAACAAAAAATCAAATTAAAGTCAACTTATCTTATTATTTTCTTCCAACACATTACTAAGATTAGACTAAAATAATGTCACACACCCAAGTACCTTAATGCCCGTTAAGGGCAATTTCGTCATTTCACATTCCCGTCAAATGTACCTCCGGGACGGGCTGTGACAACTACCCTGCCGCTGCCTACAAGTTCCTTCCTCGCCCCCGTTTCTACGTCCAATTAATTAATCTGGAGGTAAGCTTTTAAATCAGGTTCAATTAACCTCTATAAGTACATCTTTTAATTAGTATTGTATCATCTTGTTGATCGTGTTTAATTTTCTAGGTTGCACAACCTAATCTTGAGGACTCAAATGATGATGATAATCTCGAAAATCTTACTCTAATTAACTGTAATTTGATGGAAGTGATTTTTCAACTAAAGGGACCGGAGCATGAAGAAAGTAGTCACTCCGTTGAAGCATTCAATAAATTGAGGTCCTTGCGGTTAGATATATTGCCAAGTTTAACGCATGTTTGGGAGACGGGTAGTTCACAATCGATGTTCACAGGAAGTAACTTCGGAAACTTGAAATCGCTACGGGTCGTTGCACCGATGAAATAATTACATTACCTAAAGTGAAGTCCATCAATCTTAAATGTCGGCCAAAACTCAAGTATTTTTATGGTGAAACTTATACTTTCAAGTTGCCGTCTTTGGAGTTATTGGCGGTTACTGACGTGCAAAACTTAAGCCTATTAGCTCCAAAGCTTATTGCCCACATCCCCGATTGCAAGTACGCACCGCGATGGGAGTGGCTGAATGGATGGGGGACCTCAATGCCACTCTAAGGAATATTTACGTAATCACTTATGTGTGCATATGCGCACACTAAAATATGTTTTTTTTTTTTTTTTTTTTTTTTTTAGAAACTCGAATTATATTTCAAGAAAACATCTCTCTTTTATTTCTAATACCGAGAAGAATGAAGCTGACGGAATTCTACTAGACACCATATAACGAGGATGTTAACAATCACAAAAGGTTGTGGCTTCGGCTATTCGCTTACTTTCATATGTACAAACCAATAAGATGTCAGTTCGCCAAAAAAAAAAAAAACCAATAAGATGTCATTTGTTGCACCAGAATTTCATTCTAAAGATTCTGTTTCCGTTGCTTACTATATGTATAATTAATTTCGATTGCGATTATTACTGTTTGAATTCATCTCTCGACTGCCTATGGGGACGTCAAGGTGGACACCAAAATGGAGGCGCGATGACCTGCATCCGGAAAGTGACGTAGCCATAACGTGCATGCAAATATAATTTAATAAAATAACTTCAAATGATCTACTGAAAAATCGGCATAGTCTCCTTTGGAATTAGGTTTTGGCCCCCAAATTTAAAACCTGCTGAAAAAGTTATAATTATTTCAAAACCACATCCCCGTCACCTAATGGGTTATCA